TAAGAACAATATGTTTGTAGATAAGCAGCCATTTAGTCATTTGTATTGTACAGAAGTGTTTTTGTGTTTTGTGAATGATATTAATAACTACTAAATGTAAGCCTTATTGCTGGTGATATCAGCTGGATGTGAAATGTTTTGCAATTACAAGTATGCAGCACATCTCAAGCACATCTCAAGCATGTTATGGTAATTTTGCTCTTAAGGTAACATGGCAAGAAATTCCTCCCCATCTTTATTTTATGGTATTCAGAAACACTTTTTGTTTGTCTGCAAAAGACAAAATGACCTAATATTTCAATACTGAACATATCAAAATATTACTATCCTCCCAAAATTAGTCAGCCTCCACTAAGCTACCAAAGAGATGGAATAGCCTACTAGCCCATCCATGTGTCTGTCTTGCATTAGATGAGTCTTTGTAATAATAGCAGATTTAGTATGCTGAACACTGTTTACATTACCCACTCTTTTACAGTTCCAGTATTTCCCTGTTAGTGCTGGCAGACCTGGTAGGTGATAATTTGCTTGACTCTAATCTTTCACATGCGCACACATAGAAACGCAGGCCAAGAACATGTTGTCTCAGCGGTGTTGTGTTCCTAATTAAAAATGGTCACAGCCTGCTGGCCTCACTTTTGTTTAGTGTTATTAATAAAGCTGGAAGGCCTCGGTTTGTCTCGTCATTGCAGTTAAGCTTTTATTCATGTCTCTGACTGAGCTTAAAAAATGTAGAACGTGGCATTTGGAGCTTCGATGGCTTTTAAAATATGTAGTGTGAAATTACAACATTATCCACACGCAAGGTCTCACAAATCAACTTACGTTTTATATATATATATAAATTTTGAAAATATGCTGTCTTGGATGGTCACTTGCTGGCCAGATAGTATTTCTTATTCAGTTAAGAACTCCAAAGAGGTGTAAAAGTGCATGAGTGAACATTTTTTTTGTTCAAAATTATAAAGAAGGGCTGAGCATGAACAAACAATCCACACAGTTCACACTCTGTGTCATCTATATTTCATTGTATGAAGAAGTTAGACAGGAAACATTCATTAGATAAGGTCTGAAATGTACACCTAGTTCTATAAACAAAAAGCAGATTATCCAAAGTGACACAGTGAGGAAAGGAATAACACAAACCTGCCCTTAAGCAAGATTTCCTGAGCAATTTAATGTCATTTGTCACAGTATTTTAGGTTTCAGTCCACCAGATACTTTAGAGTATATGTTAAAACACATAGCCCTGTTTTGTCTCATTTTACTTTATTATTATACAGATATTTAATGCGGACTCACAGAATTTCACCAGCACTTCCACTGTAAATAAGCAGCTGAAAGGCACAGACTTCAACTCAGATGCTTTCCATCTTTACCTGTTTGTTTTTTCACCACTTTGTCAGACCATTGAGCTTGGGACTAAGTCTTGTAACCCAGTGTTAATTGTGCTTGTGCATATCCTGCTTATTTCCATAAAATGGAGCCATATAGACTATACAAAGGACCCAGCCAGAGGACTAAAGTTTCACCTTTATGAAACACTCTGGACTGGAATATTACATCTGATTCAAGCACTGTGAATGTTCCTTATAAATTAAGAAGTAACTGAAAAATGTTACAAATGATACACTACTGTAATATTAGGGGAAAAGGTGCATTAATCTAATTACAGAGCATTCATGACTGGAAGTTTTACATTATTATTGAAGGAGCATTTACAACTAGCTGCTTACCTCTGGAGAACCTTCAATTCAGTTCTTCACTCAAGTTCTCACTGGGCAACAATCTTATAGTCAACACAAATTGTAAGTGATAACATATTTTCCTTCTGCACCACGACATTATTACAACAGTTAGTTCTGACAACACGGTGCCCCCCCTTGTTATATTTGTGATATCTAAAGCCTTTTTCTTTTCACAATAATTTTATCATTTAGCTGAGCACCAGTTATAATGACTTGATTTATGCTGCAGCTAAATGTTTCTGCTTTAGCACATACAAAAACAGAAAAAAACAGTAATCTATAGAACCTATCACGATACATTAAATAACTTCTATAAGACAATATTTGACCTGCAGTCCATTTAGTCAGATTCTGAAGACGAATGTGACAGCAGGGCTACAAATCAAGTTCTGAACTTGTTGTTTGCCCTAAGCAAGCTGTGGTGGCAGACGTACTAAACAAACTGGAATTAGCCAAAAATGAACAAAGTACAATTCGACAAACAGGATTGGTTGTGAAATCCTTTACAGGCTGACTGAAATGAAACAACTTTCTGGTTAATCTGGCTGAACTTGATATTGTGAAGGTAACAGAGCAGGCAACTTTTTCTTTTTGGAGGAAGGATTCAGCAGTATTAAAATAAGTTTGATACAATGTTCAGGGCTTCTTTGTATATGTGCTTTTTTAGCACCTTGAGATTTTCACCTAAATGAAAGGTGCATTATTATTAAAATGCATTATTATAATATTGTAACGACCTGCTACTGGCGGATGCTGGCACCTGAGACTTTGAAGCTATGCAGCTGACTACACACAAAGGCTCATGGCAGCACATGCCTTCCAACAAAGGGACTAAATGTTGATATTATTGTTGTTTGTTAGTTATAGTTATGTGTGTGGGTTACTTGTGTTCACCGTCAGGGTGAAGCGTATGGCTTTTGGTGACCTCCCCTACAAATTCAGTGATCTGCATGTGCCCCTTTCTGCTGGTGGGTTCCTGCAGCAGATTATGGCTACTCTTGTGTTTCTTTTATTGCTGATGCTACATTATTATAATTATTGTTATTGTATGTTTTTCTTTTGTAGAGCTATTGTATAAAAGCAGTACAACACTCGAGGTTGTGTGTTGTTGCAAATAATACACTCCTATACTTGTTTTGTTGTTTAAGTGAAACACAGTATCAGTTTTCATGTGTTGATAGTCGGGGGTGGTGGGAGAGTTGATGGGAGAGTTGAGAGAGATGAAACATGATATCATTGGTGTATGGTAACATAATCAATACTCAAAAGATGTTTAGAGGCAGGCAGAGTCATTACATGTTAATGGAAGGTTGTAGGAAAACAAGAATTTTATTTTAGATTATATTGTGATGACCCAGAAGGATAAGCGGTTTAGAAAATGTGTGTGTGTGTGTGTGTGTGTGTGTGTATTGTGATAAATTGTGGTAAAAAGAAACAGAGAAAAAAAAATAAGGTTGACTTTGAACACCGCAGCCCTGCTGCCTTCCACTTCTGTGTCCCGTTCACATCATTTCTTTCAGGAACCAATTCAATTCAAATTCAAATGTATTTGTATAGTGCTTTGTATAACAGACATTGTCACAAAGAAGCTTAACAGACCAGATGCACAAAACCTCTGGCATTTTGTTTGCTACTTAACACAGGAATTATCTGTTTGAAAAGTAAAAATGACATGTCAAGGAAACAATATGTAAGTGACATTCTCTGTCTGCAAGCTGAACATATTATAACACATAGTGATTTAGTTTGACTCACTTTTTACGGATATTTATGACATTGTTCATACAACCTGTGTGCACTGAGAGATGTAATTTGTCCTGCAGTGCTGTGCATTTAAAGTTAAATGCTGAGAGCTGTTTAGCTCCCTCTAGTGCAATTTACGGGCAGCAGGAATGTGGTCATTCTGACTACACATATGAAGAACGCACTTACTGCTGATTTTTTTAAGTGTTAAAATGTGAATTACTTTTATTAATAGACTTTTTAGGATACTAGTAAGCAGTTGTGACTGTAAGGTGGGGCCTAAAATTAGGAATCTTTGGGTAATTTTGATCTTTTGATCTTCCATGTTAAAATCTCTTTTTGAGTGCTATCCACTTCTACAAGGAGCTAAGAAGTTGGCATGTGGATTTTCAGCTGACTCCACTGTCATGTACTTTACTTTTTGCAAGGTTGCAAAAATGGCTATTGAGTGCAGCTTCAAAATGCGCCCACAGAATTTTAACTACAGCACAATATTATATATATATATATATATTTTTTTTTTTTCCGTCCACAGCTCCTGTGTTTTAATGATTTTTTTTTTAATACCTTTTAATACCTCTTTTCTGTTGGGTCATAAATGATCTCTGGCCTTGATTTACGTGTGAATATATTCCAGATCCATCCTTCCTGTCAGTGAATGCTTTTGAAGACCTTGGATACACCTTAAATTAAACTTGTAACGCACTAAAGGCTTCAAACACTGCTCTTGTGGACTTGTGGAACACAGTTAGAAAACAACATTTTAGCTGTAATAATAGCCAGCTGTAATAGCTAAAAACTGGCTACCACCCAATAGGATCACTAGGGCTGAAAGATTAATCATTTTTATTTTGAAATTGCAATTTGAAAGAGCACGATTTTCAAATTGCAAGAGCTACAATTTTAATTATACCCTACATTATTAACATCATTGTCTTAAATTTTAAGTGGAGATATTTAACCAAATAACACAGAGCATGTAAACCACATAGTAGATGAGTTAGACCAATCAGAAGTGACTGACCAACCATATGCTGTATACAGCACGACCGCAACTAACTGGCAGCATTTAAGCTTAAAGCCATAAGCTATAAATACATACATACATAAATCAATAAATAAAGCATAGACCTTATTTTATTTTTAAAAAATATATAAAAAATAGAGAAATCATTTTTGCCTGAAATCGTTAAGCCACAGGATATATGATTATTATTTTTAAATTCCTTTATTAAAAATATAGTCTACATGTAATTTCTCAGAAAAACAGACTTAATTTGCCTATTTTTTTTTTACATGTGTTTTTGTGTATATTTGACAAGAGATGCTGCACTGAAATTAGGACTTTTATTGAGTGACTTTGTAAACAGTGCGAATACAAAGAGTTTTAAGAGTTCAAAAGTAATGCTAATAATTTAAAAACAAGATTATCATCCTGTGTGTGTGTATGTGTGTCAGTCAGTAAGTCACACTTACACTTAGTTCTTCTTCTGTGGTGTTTGGAGGACTCTGGCACGCCCACCTGAGCCGTTCCTGCTGACCACAAGCACATGATTATTGGTGTTTACCTGCAGCAGCTCGCTGCCACGACGCACCATGGACGTTCTTATACAGTCCCTCATATTCTGACCTTCACAGATTTAATTAATTACTGTTTTAAGCGTCGAAGAGACCCCGAATCCTTTTCCTGGACCCAGTGTGGAGCTGTGTCGAGCCGAGGAAGAAGTTATCGTTAGCGCTGCTCTATGCTGCTGTGGACCGAAGAGCTCCACTGTGCTCCCCCAGCAAGCTAACAGGAGAGCTGGAAAGGTAACTCAGCCTTAGCGGAGGGAGGGAGGCGGCTTTACTGCAAGAGAAAATGTTGGCACGGTTGCTAGAAATGTGCGTCGCTGTTGTCACGAGGCAAATGTGGAAAGCTGGCCGTCGAATTAGCTAACCTAGCTAACCTAGCTAACGGAGCCCAGTTCAGTGTAGGAGGCTGAAGTTGGCTTCCTATTCGCCCGCTTGTTATTCGAATTTTCCCGTTCCACCTTAAATGGGGCAGCAGTTACACTGTTAAACTAGCAAATAGGAAGCTGACCTCCGCTTCGTGTTCAGTGCTGCTTTCAAGTTCATGTCGACTGACAAGGAAGTCAGCTGTTAGCTGTCTGGATAGAAAACGCCTGTGTGTTGTTCTCATTTAACTAGCTAGTGGAGCTCAGTCATTTTGCGTTGTGTTCAGCCAAATATGCTCTTTAACGTGAGAAATGTAGCTAGCATTTAGCAGGTTAATTAGCTAGTTAGTTAATGCCAGACAGTAGGTCACATCACCATACCTAAAGACGTGCATGATATACGATATCTCGTTTTTTTCAAGCAGGTCAACTTGGACATGATGTACCAGCCAAACAGTGGTGCTTCCTTTTAAAAAGGCTATGAAAAATTGAACTGTTGTTTAGATTTGTGATACACGCAGTTGTTTAGGTTTCTTAACGAACTGAGGATACCCGTGATATACTCAGAAAAACGTGTATTGTGATATAATTTATCACAATACAGATATGTCCTCATATCACCAGTTCCTGCTTTGATACACTCTCTGTATGTTTGTATTTTTGCAGCTCTGCTATTGTGAATCACACATGCACTCCTGAATTACATCCATTTCCTTGTCATGGGGGTCATCGAGGAGACCGATGTGGAGCGTGAGTACCGTTCTCATCCACAACCAGCTTCAGCATGTTACGCCTTCTCATCTGTGTTAGGGTGTCTCTGATTAATATAATGCCTGTGGATATGCCCTGCTAAAGCATGTTGATCTTTATAAGAAAAGGCACTCGCTCCTTAAATGAACCCTAAAAGCCATAGCTTGAGTGAAAAGCTGGAATTTTCAAAAATTCTTTTTCCCCCCCAAATGTTTTCCTGGAAATGGTGTGTATTAAATCCCATTTGACCTGGATTAGTTTTACCAAGGGAGGTAATGTAATTTCAGTGACTACCAACAAGGTCCAAGATTTTAATCGCGTTTGAATGTGCAGTATTTGTAGTTTTACAGGTCTAATAAGAAGTAATTCTGGAGTAATTGACTGACTCAGGATAGTAGTCCTGTTGAAATTGACCTCATGAGAATGCCCTCGGATAAAATGAATCCAGCTTGAATCTTGCTTTGGATTCAGCCATACTGGGGGATGCCATATAATCTGCCTCCGAACTACATGTATGTCCCCATTTCTATGAAGATTTTCCATCATTGACTTCATTGAATTGTCTGGTAATAGTATCTCAAACGTCAAAGATTAAAATGTCGAGCATTATTCACATTCGTGCTGTCTAAGATGAAAAATGACATATCAGGAAAGCTGAATCTTTGCTTGTCCTTGTAGTGTAGGAACCTGATAGTAATGGGAATAGGCCACAGTTCCTTGAGCCCTGTTTTAGGATTGGGCATTTATATTCTCGCAATGAAATACATGTAGGGCCATATATTTATCAGTGTGTCCAATCATCTTTTATCTCTGCGTATTACCGCAGACCTCAAAGGTTTCAATATCAGCAGAAGAACCAGATGAATTGACTGTACTGCAGGTCTGGGAGCCTTGACTTACTACTGCAAGACAATACATGAAGGGCCCGTTTCCCAAACATGGATTTAGTGCAGCCTTGGACTAAATTGCTCAAGCAGCAGTATGGCAGTAGTGATTCCCCAATGAAAGCCCTTTCTAGTTTAGGCTTAAGCATAACTGAATCTGGGAATCCAGCCCACAGGGTTCAGGATAGAAGCGGTTTTCTGCTACCGACCAACATTATCCTTTTCCTCACCTTACCAAACAAATTAGTTTACTGAGTAGTTGTAATGAGTTCCTGTCCCTGTGAGTAATTTGTTTTCGAAAGAATCTCCATAAATAAGCATTTGAATGCTGCAACTGCTCCTGAAGTAGTAACATGTGGACTGGAATTAATTGTTAGTTGTCTTGTAACAGCAGTGTAATGAATAGTAACTGTGTGTATGTTAGAGAGATTCAGAGAACTTTTGCAAAAAAATGTCTTACTTCGTAGTTTAGGTCCAAGCTTTGTTTTTCTCACAGTTCTCTCTGTAATAATGCTGGCCTGGGCTCACAGTTTATTGCTGAAATCCAACTATTCTGATTGATCCGCATTTTTCCCTTCCCAAGAGTTTTCAGAACTGTAAATGGAGCAGTAATTAGTGTTTTTCTGCATTTTGCTTGTAAGGTGCAATACTACAGTTCATCACTGACTGGATGTTTGTCACATGCCTTGTTGTCATGAAACTTGAGCAGGAACTAACATACTGTTAAAATTCAGATCTTTCTTGCGTTACAGAGCAGAGCAATTGCTTCATGGCATCTCGTGACATTCTAGACATACTGCTGCTTGGTAACAGCATTTTTTACAAATAAAGTTTTCACAGCTTTTTAATGGAAGCTGTTATATTCCTTTTTCTATATTAAGCAGGAGTGTTGAGATTACATTAAAAAGGATGTTGTAGGAAACCTTTCTATGCTTGCATGTTTGCTGATGTCTTTAGTGTTTTACCGTTGAGCTTTATAATTAAGACATATGGTTAGTAACTGACAAATCTCACAGTATAGTATGTATTTTATAGTATGTTCTTTGTGTTTCTATTGTTGTGTTTATCTCAACAGAGGTGACCCTGGCCCTGCTGGATGCTGCCAATGACAAAGATGCAGGTGTACAGGAGCAGGTTCGGAAATCCATCCTGACGTTAGGGAACCAGCAGCCAGATAAAGTGCTCTCCATATGTCAGGACTACCTGGTTAAACACTCCAAGGTCAGTTGACTTTGTTGACTTAGTGATAAAAAGCAGAAAGCTTATTGTAAACGCTGTTATTCATTGAGAGCAACTAACTGACATCTCACTTTTATTTTTGAATATGATTATTTTTTAAACTGGTGGTTATAAGAGGGTCTTAATAGGAATGACAGTGGGAGGGATGGCTGTGTTGGGAAAAACAGTGTGGTTCTGTGCATGCTCCAGTTTTACTTGCTGCTACTTGCCATCATATCCTGCTGTTCTACTACCGGGGGAAAAAAACCTCAGCTGTAGTCACTAAAATAGGAGGTTAACAGGAGTTCATTTAAAATTTTTACTTTACGTTTAATTAGTTTTTCTTACTTACACTGTAACACCACCATTCCGTCAGTTAGTCCAGTGCAAATTCTTCAAAGACACTTTTTTCCCATTTTTGTCAAAATATGTCATCAGGTAAGCAAATATGGTGACAAAAGAGCTTCCACTGCACTAATGCAGATGTATTTCCCATTGCCATAGCTGTCCCTTCAGCCATGGATGCTTAATGTCCCTATTAAAAAGCCTAGCTGTTCAGCAGTGCCGAAAATGTTTTCTAAAGCAGTCAAAAGGAGAAAACACATTGGTGTTCAGCCCAGTTCTCAAGGAAACCCAGTCCATCTAAGATTCTTTTCTGTTCCGGCTTCCAACACACTTGATCCAGGTAATCATTGTTGTCTCATAGTCCTTGATTTCCTGGCTCAGAAGCAATTAGCAGTGGAATACAAAAAAAATGTGTACTGGATGAGGACTATTCAGAATACTGAGCTTCTGAAACCGGGCAGCCCAACCTTCAGCCTGTTAATGTTCCGAGTCTGTCATTTCCTTCCTATGCTAATGTGACTCAGCATATGGTCCTACTAACAGTGTGACTGATATTTTGCATCACATTAAGCAATATGCCATGTCCAGTTCTCATTGCAAAAAGTGGTGTCACATGGGGTGGCTTTCCTTGTATAAGTCTTTCTTCATGTGCTATTCAGATCATATGGCTAGCCTTCTCCTCTTGCAGTGAGCCAACTGTTTACAGTTTCCTGAAGAAACCTGTAGAATTAGACAAATGCTAAATAAGGACATCTAGAGAGTTAGGCTTATGTAATAAGGACAAATTGTCCACTTTAATCTTAGAGTTTTATGTTGACGTTTGCTATGCTTTGCAAGTCACATTATGACTCTTTTATGGGTCAATTTCTGTGACTTTAAAATAGCTTTCATTTCTGCAGAGCTGCCTGTTAAATGCTTAACATGAATCTCTCTCTTGTGTAGCTAGTAACAGGGCACAGAGTGGTGGTTCTTCAGACCATAGAGCTGGTGGTAAAAAGCAAAATTGATGACGTCAGTTACACTAAATTAAAGAGCATCATATCACTAGCTTCAGATGAGATGACCAGGTCTAAGGTAATAGTTCATTGTTTTCAAAAAGAAATATTGTAGAATAGAGTAATGCTCTATTTTTCTTAACAGTTAAATGTTTTAGTACTTATTTATTTGATGCCTTTACTTTATTCTTCTGTACAGGAAGTTGCTGCTGATTGGCAACAAGCAGCCAGTAATATTTTGGTTGCTGTAGGAAACAAATACATCAATGACATCATGGAGGAGATCCTCAGCAAGTTCCAGCCAGGGGTTCTACCTCACTTCTTTGTGGTCCAAACATTAGCCAGTCTCTCAGACTCCAATGGTAAATGTTTTACCTATTCTCTGTCTCTTGTCTATTTGACACAGAGTACAATTAGACAAAAGGTAGCTTATATTTGCATGTCCTTAATTGCCCAATTTCCTCTACATTTCTGATGTAACTTAGCACTCAGTCTCACTTACTACATCTGCTGGCTCTGTTGCACTTATTTGGCAGTGTATTCTATCATTGTGTATTGTATATTGTGTAGCATTGTGTATCAGTCTCAAATGTTTAATAAATATCTTATTGCCTTTAGCATGTAAATCTGTTAGTGAGGTCTTTGTTTCTGTTCCTCTTTCAAACACATGAGTATTATACTATAGTATGTTAGACTTGTTTGCCAATTTTATTTCCCCTTTCTGTTATGTCACATCAACTGATTCATTGAACATCTTGTTTGTTCTTCCAGTCTATGGCATGGTGCCATTCCTCAGTGCAATCTTGGGTACCATGTTGCCAATGTTGGGCATGGCTAAGCAGGACAACATGAAGTGGGTCTTCTCCTCTGGTAAGCTTACAGTTAGTGTAGGACAAATTAACCTTAAAGCCTTTACTCAGGAAGATGGATTTCTAGTTGAATCTTCCTGCAGTTATGTGGTTGATCTGATCTTTTGTCCATAATGGAGGATTTAATAAAAGAAACCCACTTTTGTGTGCTTTCAGCTCTTTACCGCTTTAGCGAGAGCATTTTAGAGTACCTGGCCAACTTGGACAAAGCCCCAGACCCCACTGTGCGCAAGGACACGTTCTCCAGTGAAATCTTCGCTGCCTATGACATGCTTTTCAACAGCTGGCTACAGACCAGAGAACCCAAGGTACACTGAATGAGACGAAGCAGGGAACCAATTTGAACTAACTCAGTTTGCAGGTCAAAGAGAGCTTGTTGTTTGAAAAGAAGTCACGACACTGTGCCGTCTGGACCTTTTTTTCTGTCTGACAGAAAAGTAAGACTGTCAAGTAAATCTGCTTTGGAAGTGGAAGGGGATTTGACTGTTTAAAGACGGCAGCAGCTAAAGTATAAAGTCTGCATGGTTAGAATGACCAACCTTTAGTAACAGAAGAAGAAATAATTCAGGAGGATGTAAAGCTTTTTACATTTCATCAAGCGTTGAATTTTTAGTTTGTGTGTAGAGACATTTGCTCTACAAGCATATAATACTTGCTTGTAGAGCAAACTTACTTGTAGAGCCAAAGAAATAAGGATTACCTTGGATCCTTTTGTTGCTCAAAACATCTTTTTTATATAAGTGTGTTCTTTATGTGTATTTACTCTAAGGCGGTTGAATATGAAAATTCAGAACCAGAAGTATTTGGTTTGAACTTAACTGTGTGGTTAGGCTCAGTCCGAAACATATATTTGGAAAAAAACATGTAGCAAAGACTCTTTCAAGAAATTTTCATGAAAATTTGCTCAGTTGGAGCTTTATGAATGGAAAACTGGGATATTTCGAAGAGTGCAACAAATCACAATCAGTTATGGGAATCCTGTACTTTAGTTGAAGTGTAGATGACTTTTACTTGCATAACAGTGAAAGTTAAAATGTTAGGTAATGTGTTTTTTAGTATAATTTACCCAGTACTTTATTTTGCCTGACACTGTTAATGGTTTTTGCTTCATGGGATGGAGGATGTTTGAGCATGCATGATCACCTTTTCTCATTTGGTCTATGACATTTGTGTTTCTAACAAACAAAACAAAAACACACAAGCACATTTCACCAAATTTTATGAACGATAGCTGCATCAGCACAAGAAAAACTGTTGTAGACAACAACATTGTATACAGAATGCTTGTTTTTTTTTTATCTAAGGCTTAAACATTAATTTGAGTTCACACATTTGAGTTGCATCTATAATGGCTGTAGTTAGTGCTGGCCAATATGGAAGAACTGTAATATCACAATACACTATAAGTAGCAATATTTATTTTTTTCAAACAGACAAAGTAATGCCACATTTAACAAAGTACTATCAAAAACTATGAATCCAGGTATTTGTATTTAAAATTTCACGTACTGTGTTGCACTAAGTCCAGTTGAACAGGACTAATTATGCTCTCTGTGTAATCAAACATGGGGTTGGTCAGTGTTTAAGTACTGACAATATCCACTATATGCTCAGATCAGCTTACTGCTATATAATTTATAACAGTGATGATAATTATTGTCATATTGCCCAGCCCTAACTAGAGTACAACATACTGTACTTGCAAATCTATAGTGACTTTGTACATTCTGTGCATTCTCACAGTGTGTCTAGGCCAGTGGTTCTTAATATCAGTTCTGGGGGATCCACTCCACTGCCCATTTTCATGTTTTCCTTTAATTATGTGCTTTTCTGAAACACCCCAAAGCACACTCGCAAAGAGCTTGGAAATTAGTGGGTAAGTTGAATCAGGTGTGTTAGATTTAGAAAGACACTAAAAGATGCAGAGCATGGACTGGGATTGGAAACTACTGGGCCAGACATTTGGAAATTCACAATGCTGGACTCAAAAGGAGCATTCTCCACAATCTGGAAGACCAGAGAGCTCCAGAGCACAAAGCAATTTCAAAAGTTGTGAGCAGCTGGTGGAGGTCTAACTCTTCATTCACTCTATTGGTCCCTTAAGTAAGTGAAAAATAATTAAACTTATAATCTCTCCGTAATAATGTGCTGTGCAGTAATGTATCACATTGACCATTTGAGGATTTTGCACCACTCTGTAGCAGTTCAGTGAGAGCAGTTCTTCTCAGAGGCAAGCCAGTGAGAATCTATGAATTCCATGAACTATGTGCTCTGAGTGGCTGAAGCTCTTTGTTCTTTAGTTCATTGGTTTGGTATGATGATTAACTCTGTATGTGTTTTTGCGTGCATGTGTATGTTGCAGTTGCGTCTGACTGTAGCAGAGGCTCTGGGGTCAATGAGTCACCTGATGGCTCATGATAAGCTGGAGGAACAACTCCCTAAACTCATCCCCACAATCCTCAGCCTGTACAAGAAAAACCCTGAACACTACATAATCAGCAAGGTGCTGCTCCTCATGGCCTCACTTACTACAACCACAGTTTCTCTGAGATTTTTTTTAAACTCTTTATTTAGATTCAAAAAAAGAATAAATGAAAAAGAAATAAAAAACTATTTTGGTTTAAAAAATTATTAAGGCAGATCTATTAAAATATTTCAGAAGTTGACCTTAATCAATAACGCGGCTGTGTTCACATTAGACTTGCATTAGAGTGCCGATAATTGATGATAATGGATGTTACGAACACTTAAATAACTGCTGGTATAAAACAAATATCACTCTTTCTTTCTTTTTCATGTACCAGGTGATTTTTTTTCTTATCTCTTTTTATTTATATTTCTGTGCCCTTATTTAGCAATTCACTCTTATCTGCAGTTACTTCAAAACTGTGTATAATAGAAAAGATTGCACTCAATTACAGGTTTTATAAACAGAACATCACTAGCTCATTAACTACACACATACATACTTTGAACACCCCTTGGAAATATTATAATGTAGATTTTCAGTCTGGCAGAGAATGCAGGGAAATCTGAAATGAAACAAGGAAACTACAGTGCAATAATAAAATGGACAAACTGTGCCACCGCACCAGTTTGGCAAGATTTTGGTTTTCAGAATATAGCAGAACTATCAGCGTTCTCCAAGGAAGAGTGGGGGAAAGTTCAAGAGTAGAAGACTAGCTGACTACAGAAAACATTTTTCAGCTGTAACAACTGCAAGAGTGGGTGATACTAAGTACTGACTTAATGCATGCCACAATTACTGTTAATACAATTACTTTTTTCTGTTTCTAAGTTAATCAAATGTAAAATATCTGCATAACTACTTACCGAAAAATGTTTTTTTTTCAAATAGTTTGCTGCAGTGATTGTGTGTACTCCTTCTGATTTCAAAACCAACAAAATATGTAATTTGGCCAAAAGTGCCCAAACTTTTGCATACAACTGTAGTAATCATTACAAATTTTTGAGTAATATTAGAAGTAATATTACCATCAGGGAAAATGCAAGCTATACGGCAAGGCTCTGTAATGTTCAAATGTGGTCTTTTGTAACTGAATGAATATTATTTATCACAATACTTCTGTGGACAGTAATCGTTTGTCTTCTGTGGACAGTAATTGTTTGTCTAAATTGATCTCATCGTCCAAGCTTAGTTCACATACACTTACTGGCTACTTTATTAGACATGCCTGCCTTGTTAGTACGTATTTGCAGCTGTGGTACATATTTTGGCTCAATTTATAATAGTCATCCTGTAGCCCTTTAACAGAAAAGACCACTGTTGGCTGTATATCACTAGTTGGTGGACTTCTCAATCCTGCAGTCACACTGATGTGTTAAAAAATACCAACAAAGTTCCTGGGCCTGGTACACTCTTATCAGTGTAACACACACTGCCCATCCACTACCGTGTTGATGTCAGTGCTGATCTCAGTCAGTGGTGGCCCTGTGGTGGTCTCTTTGTGTTGATTGATGGGGATGGGGTAGAGGAGGGCTGATAAATTATGCAGCAGTAGATGAGCTACAGTCAGTAACTGTATATCTATGAAGTCTATGTGACATCTATTTGGCAGGTGTAGCTGATGAAGTGGCCAATGAGTGTGCATACAGAGTATCTAATAAACAGGCAAATGTACCTAATAGACAGGAAACTTATGTATATGTATGTTTATATACAGAGCCTTTGTCAGGTGCTGGATGCTTCTGTGAATATGGGCAGCAGAGTGCTTGAGACTCAGATGGACAGCCTTCTCTCTGCTCTGCACCAACAGGTAAAGCAGCCTTCTTTTTTGCTTTCAAATTTTCTTCTTTCTTTCTTCAGTAATTCCCTCTACGTCACTGCCATAGAACAGGCTTTTAACAGGTTTTCCTTGTTTAACTAAACTCACACAGTCATGGCCCACATGTGCAGACCTGCCAGATTTCTTTATTGTGTAATACTTAAGATCTGATCCTGCTACTGGCTGTAAGTGCATAAGCAAACGCTTACTGAGTCTAAATGATGAGGTGATTTAATCTCTCAGTTTAGTCGGCAGATATTTGCCAGCTATGTTTCTGTCACGCATTTTCTAGGTGCAAACTGAGCAGTTTATTTTGCCCTTTACTGATTAAGAATGGAAATTCCAAATGTTCAGCAAGAATAGCAATACTGAAGCTATTTTGTCCTCCATTATGTGTTTGTTTGCAGCAGATATTCATCTTATTTTATATCCTGATATGCTCTTTCAGGTTTGTTCTCCTGTGGACTTCAACAACCCCCCAACTGTGAAAAATCACAACGAAGTACTTCGATGCTTCACCATCCTTGGTACATGTTTTTTTGTTTGTTTTTAACTTTCTAAGAATGTACTGTTTAAAAGTTTGCAATCTCTTGCCATATTAACATTTCTTTTGCTATTTTATATGCAATAATAACTTACACATTTTGGATTTAAGCATTATAAAACTTTAAATATTAAATAATTTATAATGCTTAAATCCAAAATATGTAAGTTATTATTGCATATAAAATAGCAAAAAATGTTTTTCAAAATTTCAAGAGTGACAACTAATTCTGGATATTCATTTTATTATAACTTCATCCTTTCTGCTATGCAGATTTTCTCATTTACAGTTTAGCTCTCTTTATCATTCTAACGTCTTCATTTTTATTAAGTTTTCTGGTGTCGTACTGATTATTGGAAACCTGTGAAGTTGGAAACCTATGAAGGAAGACTAGCAGATCACAATTATTTTATACACTTTGCTGCAACCAGATTGGTTTTATACTATTGAAAACCGTAGTAATGCGGCAAAATATGTCAAACACTTCTATTTAATCTTTTCTTTTTTTTTCTTTCAGATGTAAAACGAAAGTGCCACTTTTGACCATTTTAGGATGAAATGTTTCCGTTGCCAGAATTTCAGTGCATCTGTAGAAAATACTGTTTTCTAACTTTTGAACGGCTATTCCAAACTTTTGAAAAGTAGTATGTGAATATATTTTGGATTTAGATTTTTTTTTTTACAAATAATTTGTCAGTGTATTTAAACAGTTTATGTATAGATCTTCACAACTACCCAGAGCAAATCAGTGCCCTGTTTTTCACCTTAGAATCTTGAGTTTTCTTCTGACTCAGAGTTCTGTGTGTGGTTGTAGTCAGGTGACTTGGTCTAATGCTTTGGATGTGGGGGGAAGGGGTATTAAGTTAATGTTGAGTTCATATGCCATCACTGAAATTACATTTCACAATTTAGAGTTTGGATCGGCCGTCAGGCTTTCCTTCAGCTTTTGAAGAGGTTTGCAGTGACATCATTTTTCACAGTGACTTATTCCAAACATGCTGTGTAAGCTGGTCAATAACTACATACACAGTTGTGATACATTCTCATTGCAGTTTTTTGTCTGATGTTGTGATTATGATTCTTGACTGAGGTTGTACGTTTAAGCATGTCATGAGTGCCTCATTTGCAGGAGTGAATGTCATCTGAAAGCCCCATGACCTTTCACGATTAATGCAGAAGTCAAAATCATGATTTTGATTAAGGTGCTGTTAATTTCGTAGACCTGTTAAACAGCTTGAGCCTGTTTCCCAGCTGACCTTTAAGCCTGTTGCGTGAAGAATTGTAGCTGACTGTGTAATTTAGTCCAGGAGAGTACTTAATATAGGAAACTGTCTGTATGCATTGCTATCTTATGCGTTGTGGAACACGGCACAGTATTAAAGTCTTGGACCATAATTCACATGACCGTGATATTTTATGTTTGTCTGTTTTTGACGCAGCCAACACGTTCCCAGACCGGCTGATGGTGTTTGTCCTGCAGAGGCTGGAAAACAGTAATGAGAGAAACAGAATGGGCTCCTTAGCTGTGCTCAGACACCTCATTAACTCTACAAGTGAGACTCACACTCGACACTAAATAACACGCTTAAGAGAGCAATAGCCTTTCTTAAAGGAACCATATCATAGAAAAACAAAATATACTTTTCACTCCCCAGTCCATATATGGAAAATAAACTTAAAAACTGCATTTTGCATTCACTTGTGATGTCACAAAAATCACACATTTACATACAACTGCCTACTCTGCCAACAGCAGACTGAAGTTATAATGACTGTTCTAACAGACTGATTTTTGATTGCGGCACAATACAAGGCAGCCAATCAGACCAGAGATCATTTACATAAAGGGAGGCTGGAGAACAGTCATATAAAACTAATTAGGAGTCTTTTTTTGGTACATAAAACCATGCCATAAGTGGATCTCAAGAGGAAAAATTGGAGAATATAGGCCCTTTAAGGAGTCCTGATTCAGCAAGCCACTGATAAGTTATCATAACAGATGTTTTGAAATTTTCTGAACAATAACAAAAATTTCTAATTTCTCTCTTCCAGCTTCCATAATGGAAACCAAGAAGCTTCTGATCCTTGCCAGCATAAGACAGCCTCTAGCAGACCACAGCAATAAGGTGAGCTTTCATTGATGTGTGTGCCTACATTTTAAGAGATGTCTTTTTAGGTCTCACAAAAATATGAATTTGACTCCTTTTTTTATAAAGCGCATAGACATCTTTGTGGTTCACTTGTGCTGTTTGTGCAGGTAAAGAAGAGGGTTGTACAGGTGATCAGTGCAATGGCTCATCATGGCTATCTGGAGCTGGAGGGTGGAGACCTGCTTGTGCGCTTCATCATTCAACATTGTGCTCTGCCTGACGTTTACCATGTACGTGTCTCTCTTCCAGGGCTGTCTGCCATCTTGTGAACTTTGTTATCCTGTATTTATCACTCATAGGCTGGTAGCTCCAAAAATAATAGGACTGAGGAGTGCAAATTTGTTGAAAGCAGGTACTTGAATTAACTAAAAAATTAATGAACCATCCTGCACATCTGTAAAAATCCTGTGCCATTATGGTGGGTGGTCTTTTCCAGAATGACGTTGATTCCTATCCACAGGGCATGGACAGTTATTGAATGATTTGTTAAACATGAGTGTGATTTAAACCATATGCCGTCATCCTACTGGACAGCAATTTTTAGCCTACCTGAAGACTATATGGAAGAATTCAAAGCTGTTTCTGGAGTTTTCCAGCATCAACAAAACGTCAAGTGTTGGATTTTTTTGCATAAGAATGACTGCCAAGAATAGTGTCCAGTGCCTTTCTTTTTGAATTTATGGTATGAGAAATTCCACCATTTAGTGTTTAAACGATGGTGGCGGAAAATTCCTGTTGCCACTCCAAATTCTACTCCAAAATCTTCTGTGATGTCTTCAGGTGCATCTATTCATATGTGTAGCTTAATTTGATAAAATTTGATACATTTCCAACAAAGTCTACTATGATGTCTTATTTGATCAGTAAAACGTTCATGTAACAGACCACTCACTTGTGTTTTTATGCTGTCCAGAATCACTGACTTATGTAATGTAGAATTGTAGAGTTATTATTGACAGTTGGTTAATGTCATTATTTATATGTAATTGCACATTTGGTTTTACATTTCGTATTGACAGGCTCAATTGAGGTCTGCTCTTCTGACTTTTTTCTGTTTTTCTCGTTTGGTTAAAAAAAAAAAACAAAAAAAAAGACTTCAGCATTCAGCCTGATTAAGCACACCCGATTCAGCTAATCAGCTGAATATCAAGGCCTTAATGATTTCAATTCAGAGCATTAGACAAAAGGGAAATACTAGTCTCTGCAGAGCTGTTGCCTGGAATAAGTCCAGTTTGACATGCCTGATCTGAAGGATGTTCTTTTCTTTTAGCAAAACACTTCAATTTCTCCTCTTGTACATTGTGTGTAAGCAGAAATCTAACCTCTCCTTCTAGCAAATAGCAACATATAAGATTACAAAAGCACCATTTCGCTATTATACAAGTAAAAATAGAAATACTAACAGCTACTTACATCAGAACTGCAAGCACATTTTAGTGCACTGCAAGGCTGAGAAACAGTCTTTACTATAATGGCTACAAAAACAAATATATATTAATGTTTTTATAGGCACACAAGAGCAAATAATATTTTTATGTATTTTTGTTTAGTTATTAAATATGTTTGTTAAGACATCATGCAATAGTGGGTTTGAGAACAATGCATGTGTGTTTGGTAAATGGCCACTCATCTGAATGGTCGAGTTACTTATCCTCCATGTGGGAGATCAGTGATCAGTCCCAGGGCGTAGAAACACTCATTAGGCTTCGAATGGTTTATGCCGGCAATGTAATGACGTCTCTCCGGCCCTGTGTGTAGAGGCAGTTTGGTCTGTTCTGTCATCGCTGCTCTTAACGATGTGTTTATTGCAGAAACCCATATTGTGATAATGGTAAAAATACTTATTGTGCAGCCCTGAACGAGGAGTTGAAATTTGTATGAAAATGATCAAATATAATGCAGGCTTTTGTAATAATAAGCTCTCACTGTGACTGAAAGGTTAACATAGACCTCATTGGTGAATCTACTTTAGAAGTAAACGATATTGTTCGATATTGTTGATGTAGGTTTGTATAAGTATCTGTGATGTGAACCCACTGTTGGACTATGTTTACAGAGGGGGCAGCGTCCCTCAGACCCAGAGGAGGTGACCAATGAGGCACTGAGGAGCATGTGTGACAACACACTTCACCTCTTCACCACGACTGTGGGCCGCCTGACTGACGTGAGAGCACACACATGCACACATACACTTACGTAGCCAGCCATTAAACGGCCCGTGTTATACACTTTTTTTTTTCCCCTAATGTCCACAACCCTAATTCATATGTATATGACTGTTTTCAGCCTCTGTTTGTACGTTAGAATTAATCAGGCCATTTTTGTTACTATTCCTCTAAGACTGATAGACGATAAATCAGTGGGAATAGATGGGGCTAAATTACTATATGCTGAATTTATGTAATGTATAGAGATGTTGGTTTTCATGACATCATGAAACAAAAAAAGGTCTGTTCATACAAAATTGTTTCCTTATATAGACTGGAGAGTAAATGGTGTGGAAATTTTGTCAATGTTCATGAACTATTTTAAAGTATTTAAAGACTTTTACTAAAAAATAACAGGGAAAATTAATTATTGTATTTGAGTATTAAATACATTTTATATACTTTTTTTAAACACAAAAACAGTCATGGTTGGATTCAGTAAAACTCCCAGTATTGCATTCTTGTGTATAGTAGTGAGATTAACAAGTGTTTTCAGATGTGAATTAGAAAGCAGTCTCTGTTGATGTGGAAGATTTTGTTTACATGACACTGTGAGAGAGGGGACTAAAACCCGTTTAGCAGTAAATCATCTATTCAGCCAATGTCAGCAACACTAGTCCCTAACAACAGTTTGTGTGTTTGGTCTGGAAAAGTTTAGCTCTTACTTGTGTGGCTCCCAACATTAACAATGTGCTGATGACAGGGTTCTGTCGTCACATTTTCACTCAAAGAGTTTATAAAGCGTGGAGATGATCTCTGCTGTCAGTTAATAACTAAAGGGGGAGATCAGAAAATAGCTGGACTATTATAGTAATTTTTGTTTTGAAAATGGAAAGCTACAATGCTGTAGTATGTGTGAACTGTGTTGTGAGGGCCTTACTAATATAAATATGTTGTTACAAATAAACAAAAAAACCATAGCAATTCCTAAAATGAGAATATAAATGTTGCATCAGCAGAGGTGGAGTATTCCAGAATTTGCAGCTGTTTTTTTAGTAACTGCTCTGTTCTAATTAATTCTTTTTTCTTATTTTTTATCAATGCTCTTTGTAAAGTGTTTTTTGCGTTATAATTTTTTGCTTTGTATTTAGCTTGTATTAATGTATAGAACATAAGTAATTGGTGGCTGTTAGGAGTTTGGTTAAGGGCTGGAACAAAAGCCTGAAATCATTAAAGTTGGAGGATCAGGGAAATAAAACAGAAAACATTGTTAACAGAACGTTACACAGAAGCATCGACAACTAAATATAATTTTTTTTTTCAGTCTTTAGTCTTCAGTTGGTTGTTATTTGTTGTGTAGGTGCTGTGGCCAATGCTGCTGTGCTATCTAACCCCAGCTCAGTACTCCAACGCCACTGCTCCACTCTGCAAGAGCCTTATCCTGCTGGCCAATAAGAAGCGAGCAGCCCAGGAGTCCAATATCATCATTGACTTCACCGCACCAGGTGAATGCGCGCACACACACACACACACACACACAGAGGAGAAAACATACACGCTGCCTGCTTCATACACACACACAGGCACACAAGTGCGCTCATGATGTCATCGATGAGCGCAGCTCCAGACATTTTTAAATGCAGAGGGCTTTTCCACTGGCTAAGCCATCCCGCACCGGTTCACGAGGCCAGTGCGTAAACATACTCTGTCTCTTCAGCAGCTCACAATGCTGGCCAGCTTCTTTTTTGCCTGCTTTTTTCCACTGCTTTTTGGAAGCAGAATTTTACTTGCAGACATTTTGTTTTCATTAACAGCCGATTGCTTGGCCAATACTGTCTGGTTCTAATTAGTCAAATGAAAAGCCATATTTATCATGTGAATAAAGCACTGGGGTCCTGGAGGGGATGATAATTGTTTCTCGCAGCGGCGATGATTAAGCTCAGCTCTTAGTGGGACAAATAACATCCCGTCTCGCTAATCATTTACTCGTTAATTGTAATTTCTTTGGATTGGGTGCCTGTGTTGATGTCTTACCCTGGTCTGCCCTCTTTTCACTTTTCCTCTGCCTTTTCACCCCCTTTTCTTTCTTTCACTTTTTCCCATATCTTCTCCATAGGTTCCAAACTTCCCTCGCAGTATATACTAATGACGAGGCTTTTGGTAAGTGAGTTTTTGTCTAATGTTTCAGTAATCAGTCATTGCAGGGATCCATTAGTAGCAGATAGTTGAATATCTGGTTTAGATTAACATTAATTGACAGTGCTTACTATTCTCACTTTTCTCTTTTTTTCATTTGAATATTAATGTTGTTTTACCTTGTCCATCAAAATTCTAAATACAGTGTATAGCATCTGAATGAGCATAAATTGTGCTGAGTTATACAGTTATACAGTATTATTCTGCTCATGAGTGATGATTATTTCAGACGTTATCTTGAACATTTCTAAAATGAAAGTGTGAATGGAAATACTAAACCCTCCAAAAATTAAGGCTTCTGTACTGTCCTAGGTGAATGCTGCCTTTCCGTTCCGGTGTCGAGGTCACGGTGCTCCATCTCTGAGTCTACTGCACGCCATCAGTCCTAACATCCACCACAAAGCAGAAGCACTATGGAACACAGAAATCCCCCAACTTCTTAGCCATCTGGAAGGTCAGTGGATAACTACCACATAGGCTTGTGTTGAAAGTCTCAGTAAAAGATGAAGAGAAGAATAATTTCCTCCCATAAACTGAAACAGAGGTGTTAATTTGCCTTGTGCCAATTTGAGATGGGCTGTGAATAGGATTATTTTGTGCTTTTGGGACACTGTACAGTTTAGTTCTGTTCATGGTTTAATAGTACATCCTCCATAGCTTCACATCCCTTTATGTTTTACAGCTCCATTAACTTTACTTGCAGTGCTTTTGCACAATGAGAATATGTAGATAAGAAGAGTATTCTTAAATTTTAAAGGGAGGCTCACATTTTCTCTAAAGCCACATCAGCTCCTGTGAGAGACTTGAAGACAATTTAATGAGAGCGTGGAAGTAATATTTTAATGAGTAAAATTGTATTTTGCATTTTTTAACTATCGCATGGAATTATGTGCTCTGATTTTAAATAGTACTATTTTTTATCACTGTTAAGAGTAGAACAGAATATCACAGGCAGTTTTATTGTGCCTTTTTTCCCTGTTGGTCTCATTTTTCTTTTCATGGTCCAAATATTTGTTTCCATGCACAGAATCCACACAGGAAACTCTGGATAGAAAGAAGTGGGAAGATAGCCTCCTTCAGGTAAGTAGTTGTAGGCTTTTATGTCCATAAATAACAATATCAGCTTGCCAGCCTATTCTCCTGTTGAAGTATCTGTTTGTAGTATATTATGACAACCCTGTTGCTGTTTGGTTTTGGTGAAGTTCCTATCCAAAACTCTGGTAACCATTGATGATGGCCAGTGGAGCTGTCAGTTGGCGGTTGAGGCAACCTGTTATCTTTCTACCTACAACAACTCTCTGGAGGAAAAGGTCAGTATCGGTAAAGCATGTCTCCTCTGTTTTGGTATGCAGCTTTACCACACTTTGGCAACAGTATGTATCTATGTTTCTGTTGGTGTAATTCATTTGAACTGAGACATTTGGTGCAAAGAACGGACTGTGGCATAAAGTAATGCTAGAGAATAGAAGACCTGTATGTATTTTTTGGAATTTTTCTACTTGCTTTTGGCACGTCTCTTGTCTCATTCTAAATTGGTCTCTACAACACTATTGGGTTCTCCCTCTTTCTAGAGCTTCCTGTATAAGTGCATTGGTGTGACTCTGCAGCAGTGCACCAATAAGGAGCTGGTGAGAAAACAACTTCAAGAGATCCTGATCAGCGCCCGCCATAACGACGCCACGGAGAGAGCGGTACAGCAAAGAAAACACATTACACACACTGCTATCACTGCCTTTGTTTGCTTTGACCCCCTTTATCTGTCAGCATCTCTCTGGCCCCTCGTTCACCGTCTTAGAGTCCAGACACTGTATTCGTCTCAGCTGTGGCTTCATCTGCTCACGTGTTTGAGGTGACCTTCAATGTAGTTTCCTGTTTGACTGGCCAATTAAAAGCACAGGCTCTACTTTGTGCATTTCATTCCTTAGGAGTTGCTCAGTGAGATGTGGTCTTGTGACAAGAATGCATTTTAGGCTGTATGTTTATTTTCAGAGGGAGGTCATGCCTCAGTTCAAAGCTGTAATTTCTGGCCTTCGGTCAACAATAAGCTTTATCACTGAGAGATTTGATTGGAGGTTGTTGGGCTGACAGTTTCTAATTGCAGAGTGGTGCATGCTGATGATTACACTGATCCACTGTTTGGAAATCCAAGGCTTAAAGATCCATTTAAAAGCCACTAATAGGTAATAATGGGAGTAATTGGGAATGATTGGTTTCACAGGGAGTAGCGATGGGTATTGGGCTGTGTGCCAGCAGTCATCTGGATGGCACTCTGGCCAAGCTGGACGAGTTTGGGAAATCTGATGCCTTCAAGAAAGCCTCGGGGATCTTTAGTCTGCTCAAAGTAGGTTCTGCTTGCTTCCCTGGTGAGGAAAAACTAATACATTTCAAATTCCTGTTCAAAGACCTACAAAAGACACACAAACATATATTCATCTGTGACATTATTTGGAAATGTGTACCAATGAGTGGCATTAATGTAATCTTGAATAGGGAAAGTTAACTGTATTGTTGTCTGATATTAAGTCACATATATATGGTTTTGTTTGTGTTTGCTTATATTTGTTGTTCTTGTTACTGCTGATGTTCTGTTGAATGCATGCCTCATCAAACAGGATAAGAACGATGTGGATGTGGAGAAGATGAAGAGCACTTTAATTTTGTGTTACGGTTATGTGGCATTGCACGCCCCAGAAGAACAGCTTCTTGCTCGACTTGACAATGACATACTGCGCAACATCAGCAAACACTTCAACACCAAGGTAAAAAGATCAAGCTACAATTCTGCTTCTGAAGTACTGAGAAGATGAGATAGAATGGAACCTAGATGCATATTCAAAGATGGTCTCAGAGTTGGACTGGGATCAGATGCTTACCTCTGTTATATAGAAATAACACGTCTCACCTGAGACACTTTATATGTGCAGGCCCTTATCCTGGATCAGCACTTTAACAGGCAAATTAATTGAAAGTATTGGCTTGAGATTTTGTCAAATGCATCTCAGTATAATGTTTCACTGTCTGTTAATCATTAACAATGTCTCTAAATATTCCATTTAAAACTTCCATTTTATGTCAAGAAGGCAGTTTTGATGATTTGAACAATCTTTTTTCCATTTTTTTTTTTGTTTAAAATGTCCATGAGTGAGGTGTACAGTGGTTTTAACCAGAGAGTTGTAATACTTTCCTAAATGGAGCAGAAAAAACTCTGTGGTTTAGCATTGTACTTAAAATCCAGTGCCTGCTGGAGAGGCAGCCATGCTTAGCTTGGCACTCACCCTGAATGACCTCATGTCAGTGGGATCCTGATTGAGCTAGAACCCTCTGAAAGCCCTGATCAGAAATTCTGCAAAGCTCACCCTTTTTAAAGAAGTAGGAAAGGGAATTGGTACAGTTCACGCCTAAAGTTGATTCTGAGGTCTATAGTAGGTGTTTAGATTACTGTTTACTCCAGTGAAGAGTTAAATACATTTCAGTCAAAAAATGCGTAACATAACTCGACATGGCTCAGCTACCCCATCTTTATTAGTGCACTTCAGATGATAATTGTTTTAAAGGTAATCTTTTTACTATGGCTATGTTCACATTACAAGTCTCATTGCTCAATTCTGATTTTTAGCCAGTCTTTCTAAATTAATAGTGCATATTTATGTGACTCGTATTTGTCATCATTGTGACAGATATGTGTCCTGAAATGACCCACATAAAGTTGGATTTGTGCCAGTGTAGCCTGGTAAATGTTAATATAGCTGATATAGTTGTTCTGTATATTGTATAAAGATTATGTGGTGCATAAAAATGGATCTAAAAAAACTCCTGACCAAAATTCTTTGTTTAATGAGTTTTTTCAAATACATACATACATACATCATCTAAACCGCTTATCCTTCTGGGTCGCGGTGGGGTGCTGGAGCCTATCCCAGCTGTCATTGGGCGGAAGGCAGGATACACCAGTCACCAGTCCATCACAGGGCAGTTTTTCAAATATTCACGTAATAAGAGTTAATGATTAATTTAGGGATTACTGGGAAGGGTGCAGGTTTCAGTTGTTTCATTGGCTGTTTCATTTTTCTTAGCCAGTTCTACATCCTTGTTAACCACATGTAACTGAGATGTGTCTCAGCAGCTGTGATAAATACTGCGTTATAGTTGCTTCCCTATGTTTAAGCTTTGCACACAAATGTGCTTCTTTGTTTGTTAGTATGCCACAGAGATGCTATTGCAGAAGTATAGTAAGTATGCTATGGCATACCTATAGGCAGACATAATGTATATTCATGTCTTTACGTATATTTTTATCCCCTTTAGCTATGTTTGTAGTAAGCTTCACGCTTTCTTGTGTGTTTTCACCTGTATGCTCAGAAAATTCAGTTTCATACTATTTAGGAGGAAATATACAATGCAAATCTGCAAGAATTTATATTGATTTCGGCAGGCTATATGATGTCCCTTATTTTATTTTTTTTATATATTTGATAAGTATTAAACTGTTCATTAAACTCCATTACTTTTATGTTGCACAGGTTCTGGGAATTAAAGTAGAGACCAAGGTACCACGAGGAGCCTCTTTCTTTGTCTTATAAACCTTACACTAAAACCTTTTCTTCTTTGCTCTCAAGGTCTCGAATGAAACTTCCAAGGTCTATGGCTTGCTGAACTTCTCCAAAAAGAGACAGAAAAATAAAATAAACACTTCATTCTCTCTATATTTTAGTGTGGTCCAATCTCATCAAACAAGAGAAAGTTTAAACATTACAATCACCAAGACCTTCACTATGTTTGTTTATAAGAGCTCAGATACTGAGTACAAAATCATCTGAAGATCGAATTTCTTTTTTTCTAAAGCCCTTTAGAAAAAAACAGTGCTTCTGTTGTTTAGAGAAGTTCAGAAAGTTTAAAAAGGAACACCTGTCTACTAACCCAAGGTCTTCTTTTACTAAAACATCACTCTGGTGGTTCTGTGAACGTGGCTTTCTGGCCAGGTTTGATTTCTCATGGTTTGATTCAACAAATCTGCTTCAATCAAACAACCTACTTTATCTTCTCAATTACAGTTTTAAGGTTGCACTTTTTTCAGCCTTTGTCTGTGGTTAATCACGTTACTATTTGCAAGTTCAGGTTGAATTGAAAAGCTTAAATTATCTTTATAACGAGCAGGCTGTATTGTAAGGGGATTTGCTACACTGCTCACAAGCTTGCTGGGTCAGTTTAAGGTACTTCTGAGTTGAAGTCCTAAAGTATCTTCCATTGATTTTGCCAGAATAATTTTTCATACTTCAGTGGTTGAGATGTGAACAGCGTCATTCAGAGTGGTTTGTTGTGAAATGAAGCATTGTAGAGAAACTTAGGCGCTCAAATTTCTTAAAGTGATGGCGATAGAATTCAGCGGTCAGGACGTTTACAGTGCAAATATAGTCATTGTATTTGCTGTCCAAAACCGGCTGTAAACCTGCGTGTCTTCGGAGGTTTTTTTATGTAATCTAGAAAATGGTGAAATAGAGGTAAATAAGAAGTATAGTAAGTGGGTCTCTTCTTCTGGGGACTGTTTTGCTTTATAACGCCCTGTATGTACCTCTCCACCATGAATAAATTTTCAAAATATGTTATAGGCTAGAAGCATAAGTTAGAACTATTGCAAAACAATGTCTTAGGCATTTGTAGCTCTTTTTTAATAACTTCCTTTGAGGTAGCTTTTAGAGCCATAGAACTCTTCAGATGTCCGGTTCCTGTCACCACCACTGTAAACAATTCTTACTTGGTACGTTTCTCTAGAATGGAGCATTTCATGTCAAACCACTCTGAATAACTTTGTTTACATCTCAACCATTTAATTGTTTAGAAATTTTGAAAAATCTCAGCAAAAAAAGCTCAGTGTAGAGTTACCTTACTTTGAAACAGGAGTTGACTAAAATACAGCTTTGTATCATGCCAGCCACAGGATATTTTATAAAGTCAATAGAAGAGGGTTGTCCGACAGGAATGCCACTTATCTCTCCTTCTATTCAACAAGCATGATTGTCTGGTTAACTTGGCGCTACTGATTTGTGAAGCACCCCCCCGATCAGCTCTTGATTCAATACTAATCCTGAATCATTGTTTGAGATCTGGCTTACTTAGAGGGTGTGGAGTGAAGTGATCGGCCTTTGATTTGTTGACAGTGAACACTTTACACTCTAAGGCTTTGAGTATTCTTGTGTGTTTGTTTGAAATGTTTGCAGGACCTGACAATGAAGCTGAGTCTAATTCAAAGTGTTGGACTCATCGCTAAGGCCATTAATACCTGTGTTCGCAAACAAGGCTACTTGTTCAGCCGCAAACAGGAGCTCATGGGAGTAATGATGGTATGCATCCCTGACTGTATGCAACAGTTGAAAACCCATTAATTTACATGAATCATACTCTTATCCTACTTTTAGAAAAAAAGCATTCCATTGAATTTCTAAAAACAGAAAGTATGATTGCATAATGCGATGGAAGTGTGAGTCATTGACTCTAAAATGTTAAAGATTAAGTCAATGCTATGTTTTCTTTGTGACAGGATTTCATTAAGGTGGAGCCGGCTGATGCTCTGCGCACTCCTGTGCGCCAGCTTGTTATGACCACTTGTGCCAACCTCATGTATCCTTACATGCCAGCAACACCTGAGTTACACTACTCTTTAGTCAAGTGATAAGGTTGAATAATCCCACAAAACCCCAGGAAACTTATGAATGATGGAGTTTTAAACACAATTTTGCATTTCACAGTAAGCAAGCAAAAATTGTATGCAATGTGCTACAGCAATCTTTATGAAAGATTCTGTTCATTTTTAATAGTAATTCAATGTGAGTTCATTTAGATAAAATATAATATTTTCAGAATTAGGGCTACAAAACCAAATATTTTGGTATTTGATTGTTCATGTGAATTAATCTGCTAAAATGTGGCTTGTAAATGTGAAGAGCTGTAACAGTAAAATATTTGTCAGTGTTCAGTCAAACTGAGGTGTTGTTCACCAAGACCTAAATTACCATTATGAGGAAAAAACATGTGGCGCTTTGTTTAAGCCTGCCCAAAATTTTGAGCAATGGTGAGTAATAAACCATAGTTGAAAATAATTTATAATAAATTTGTAGATTAATGTTGTAGCTCTTCAGGCTGCAACATTATTTAACCAGTTTAATATTTTAATGTGCTAGTTCACTAGACGAGCTGTGTGTGAAAAAGTTTTCCACAACAAGTAGATGGCATTTTGTTCATGTGAAAACTGTGTTTGCAAACTGATTTATTTGTCTACAAAATACTTATTTTATTGTGTGCTCTCATAGGTATAGCACCATAAGTGAATTGCTAAACTCTTCAGCTTAAGTTAATCACTGAAAATGTTAAAAAGTCGCTACTGTAAATATCTGTCGATGAATATGTCAAATAGTTGTTTCAGCAGGTTTAGAATAACAAACAACTGCAAGATGATCAAAACAGAGCACATTTAAATAAGAAAGTACGTTTACATCATCAGTGTTTAAGTATGTTACATGATTTATTCATTTTCTTGAGTTGCTGTACATGGAAAAACTGACCTTCTTAAGACCTTGACTTGAATTTTCAGTAATCTGGATCCGCCACTGACAGAAAACGAAAACTTTGACATGCTAAAAACATGTATAAATGGGGTATATGGACTTCCCACTTTAGAAGCAGTAGAAAAAGCCAAGGACGAAGAGGCTCTGGACCCCCAGCAAAGAGAGGTGGAATTAATGCTGCTTGAGGCACATACACACATTCGTACTGATTTACGTCTTCTGTGTTCATATACTGCTCAGGGGCCTGCTTGGTTAGTTTATAGCCCTTTTTGTCCAACAGGGCTTTGAATATTGTTATGCAAAGTCCTCACTTGTAAAATATGAATAATGGGTAGAAACAAATTAGTTTTAAGAGGCACTGAGGTTTTTCCATCTTAGCAATTCGCCTTCACTTTAGTCCAGAGTCATCATAGCGTGAGATATATTGCTTTTGGGAAACGAGACGCGCCTGCAAGATGGGACATTTTCTGCCTTATCCAAAGTAAACCAGCCATGCTTGTAAGCCAGCACATTTGAAAGTAAATGAAACTGGTTATTCAGTATAAATATCTGCAGTTCTGGACTGGCCAGTCAAAGCAGAATGACTAACCTGGATCTGGTTTTTCAAAACCATCATGTCACACCAAATCAAAGCAGATGGTAGAGGCTGCATCATTATGAACTGTTTCTCCACTGGGGGAAAAATACCAATATGCATATTATCATCTCTACGCTGTGGTATGATGCATTATGTTACAGCGTAGAGATGCTACAATATGCATATTGGTATTTTTTGCCCCAGCTTAGGGGAGCAGAGACTTTACGAATTGTGAATTGTATACAGTTAGATTTTTGGCCATTAAGTATTTATGATGTCATGTACTGACATCAGTTGAAATTATTTTCACTGCTAAAATACACTTAATGATATTCCTAAACGTAAACCATTAAAGAAAAAAGAAAAACTGGTCCAACTGGTCTTGTTTTGTCAATTGGACTGAGAAAACCAGAAAAATAAAAGCAAAATTAATGTTGACACTTTTTTCTTCTGTATTGAAAATGTATTGTATCATGGTGCAAAAACCACCATACATGTAGAAGTGAAGTTTATGTTGTATTTCTCTGCATTCAGCTCTTTAAAAGGTCCTCTTACAAGCCATTGAGAAGATGGAGAAGTTTCATACAGTGGGGTTCCTCTAAGAAATTTAAACTAATTACAAACTTAGCATTTACGTTGTTTTTAGGACCCAAATATAAGAGCTCAGTGTACCAGTTTTTGAACATAATACATTTATGGAATTCTGCAAGTGGAAAATGTTATATACAGCTTCTTTAGGACCACTTAAAGTCTGTGTGTAAGAGATAAGCACCATGTTGCAAAGCCTGAGCTGCAGCAGCACCCCTCTAACACCCTCTGCTGTCTCCCAGACCTTGTATACAGATACCTTCAGTGCTCTTCATGAACTGCTCCACAATGTGCTAGCCAGAGATTTAAGTCCGGACGGCCTTCAGGCTGTGTTCAAGGTAAGCTTTCTTTCTTACCCATGACGTTAATTGACCATAGGCAGTTAGCTTTGTCTGAAACCCTGGTTACTGAGCACTTTGCTTTTTCCCAGCATATAGAGAGCTGGTTGAGCTCCCGGCAGGACCACGAGCGAGAGAGAGCAGTGAGAACCACAGCCGAGATTCTGCAGTTTTACCTGAATAGTCTTAATGTGAAGGTGAGACATCTTAACAATGGTGGTGCAGTAGATTGTATTAGGATTATTCTACTGAATTAGTTCAAAGTCAGAGTTGAAAACACGTTTTGGACTTTTGGCTGACTTGGATTTTAGACTCAAATCCCTTTGCTTTGAATGAACGTATCCTTCAATTGAGTGTATTTTATTTAAACAAATGATAGAACATTCCGTTTTGTCTCTCCCAAAACAATCGTAGCACTGCCACTGTTTCAGCAGTGACAGTTTTAGTTTTAACTTTGAGTTATGCTATACAATTTTGAACATAACTCAGAAACACCAGCCAAAACATGATTAGCAACCAGATCTTTGTTGTATACACGTAAAATGATAATAATAGTGCAAAAGTTTACTTAACTGCAGAAAATATGTGTTTCGATAGTGACAATTCATAATGTTACACACTGATTTTTAGACTTTGGGACACATTTACTTCAAACAGTGGGATCCATGAAGGGACATGAATACAGTCTCACTGCCTGCTCTAAAATGTAGGGGTGTGGCTAAATTAAGACTCTGCCAATGTCATGAAACTGTGTTTCCTGAAAACATTGGAAAGCATTTTTTTTAATAAAGTTTGTTTTTTTTAATTTGACGATTAAACTAACGATAATTCTAAATACTTCAAAAGGTATAAAAAATGAAAAAATACAAAAAAATTGTTTTACTTTAACAGGTTGAAATTTAAAGGTTAGGGTTCGGGACAGTCATCTCGCAATAGCAGTACCCTATAAATGATGATTCTGTATATGTTGATCTAATTACTCAATTAATCCTTTAGGTTTAAATAATTCATGACATATCCTTATAAATATCTAAAAGTCTGAATACTTATTATTTTTATTTTATTTTTACTGTGAGACCGCAGTAAAAATACTTTAGAATCGTCCATTAATATGCTAGGTTACTTCTAAGTATCTTTGTTCATGCAATTTGACCATTCGTGTAGGAGGTCACAGTGACGCTTTCGTACCTATTAGTTATTTTACATATAACAACAATGTTTGAGTGAATCCCAAAGCAGCCCACATCTCAAACATCCTGTACATTACTGTGCAGAACTTGGTGACGTTCCATAACCTTGGAGCCCTTTTGGGGCGCCTGGTGCCACGATGTGCGGACCCCAATCCTGGCATACGCAGAGCGGCCATAGACTGTATCTACGCACTCTTACACATTCAGCTGCGTTATGAAGGTAATACGTCACTCCTCATATTGCTAATGTTTTAGATAATGCTGAAAGCCCCAGTGAGGAAGTGCTATAAGTGACAAAGTCTTAAAAATCAACACCAACAGTCCTATGGGGGCTAACAATTTGATAGTGTCTTTATAGGTAATCATTAAATTAAGCCTATTTCCTTTTCTTTCTCGGTAATGTTTTGTTGCCCCATTTTGCACATCCATGTTGGTCATGCTTAATTTCACATGGAAGGAGTGTTTCTTTACAAGACATGCTTTTAGTCTGAGGAATAAATTTGGACTATTAGTGCATGCAGTGATAATATTTTGATGAACAGTTTAATGCAGTGGCTGCTGCATCTCTCCTTGCCTCTTCATGTCTGCTCTGGCTCTTTAGGCTTTTCACTGGACTACAGAGATGACTCAGTTGAGGGTTTGTTAACTGTGAGAGAAAAACTGAACGACCCTGACCATTCCATCCTCTACAGATCCTGCTCTGATCTCGCTAAGGTATAAATGTCTCATGTAATGTCCTCATCACATTAACACATTGTCAAAGAAATAGTTTTGAAAAATTATGAAAAATCGTGTTTACTTTCCACTTACCTCAAGGCTGCTTGATAGATTCTGAGTTCATTTTTCTTTTCTATTGCTTTGGTGCCGCAAGATAAACACTGCTAATGGGAAATCAAAGCTATCATCTACCATTAATATAATACACAAGGTTTTTTTCTATAATATGGATTTTATTTTATTGTAGCAATGATAACAATGGTCATTATCACTTGAGTGGCTTGATGAGCCTGCATGACTTATGATTTATGTATCACTTTTTTGTGTCATTTATGTCTCTCTTGTTTGTGGCAGATCATCAGTAAGCGTTTGCCTCAGCAGCAGCTGAACACGTTGATCTTCATGCTTTTTGAAGGTCTAATAGACTACCAGTCCAACTGCTCCAGAGCCTCCAGTGTCATTCTCAACACGCTGCTCAAAAACAGAGGAGCTGGACTGCAAGACCTGGTAATGAGGTTAACCATTATTAATGTTACTACTCTTACACATTTTCCACTATAATTGTTGTGCTAATTGGTTGAGGGTCAGCAAGCATATGTAGAATAGGCTTGTGTTGTGCTCATTATTACTATTCTGTGTTTTACCTTCTGTTCTCATGTGTGTATCAGGTACCAGAGATGTTGGAGGTGTTACACAATCGGCTTCAGGTTATTGCTGAAGAGCAGGTGAAAGTTGCAGTTGCGCAGTCCATCCTCATCCTTGCCACACAGCACCTTCAGGCTGTTATCAACACCCTCATTTCCTATCCTCTCCCTTTTGACAGGTAGAGTTAAGTTAATCAAGGCTTTCCGGTTCTGAGGCTAAATACTGTTTTTTTTCATGTGAAAGGAAACCTTTGCACATGGTCACTTTACCATAAACCTGATTCTTTACCAATGTTCTGTGTCCTCAGTTGGAGCTGTGAGATGTGGATTGCTCTGGGGGCAGACAGCACTGTGGCTCGTCAGATCATGGAGATGATTATCGAGAAGCTGAACATCATGGTGCCGTTTGTGGACAAGAAAGAGTCCATGCTGAAACCAGGCATGACCAAAGTGGCCACCAGTCAGCCTCTAGCGGTGCGTGAATTTACCAGAACACAAGCCTGAGTCTTCCTAGTTCACGTCATTTAGGTTGAACCAACCTGAAGCTTAGCAGTGCTGAGACAATATTGCCAATGGTCTGACAAGTTCTGACAAGTCCCACCTCATCTCCAATTATTGTTGCAATATCTATCAAACTTGAACCTCTTCAACTCCTTGAGACCACCGGTGGTTCCAAAACGCACTTAGTCATATTCTTCATAACTTTCATATTTCATAAGCTACATTCAAAAAGTGGGTGTCATATGAGAGCTGTAACTGTCTTCTTTTCAGTCAAATAGATGGGTAATGTAATTTTAAACCCTTATAGTAGAAGAAACTGAACTCACAGATTTTTTTTCTACTGGAAGTTGATCCATTTTTCCACAAATCTGGGCTATAAACTATAAACAGATGGTGTCTCTTCAGTGATCTGCTCTGTAAAAATTATTTTTATAAAATAATGCAAAGAGCATCTAAGATTTTTGGCTTTCAGCAGTAAATTGTAAGCAAATAGCATTATGTGTATGATCATAAAACACATTTTCTGTTAATTGGAGGGGAGCTTTTACAAAAAAACAAAAATAAATAAAATAAAAATGTACATTTTTTTCATGCAGTTAATGAATAATTTGCCTTACGATTTGGTCATGTAACTTCAGATGGAAAAACCAAAATATACCCTGGAGAAGGCCACCTGGTTGCGTTTGTAACACTTCAAGTCTGTAACGGAAAAAAAAAATTCATTCCAAAATAAACTGGCTTCACAAGATGTTCAGTGCAGACATACATGTTTGGGAACTAACAAAATATAAATGTAGGCCAATTAAAAGCAAACATAAGAGGATTCTGGAAACCATGTTTACATTTATCAAACTAGGGAAATGTTTAGCCACTTGACTTTAAAGTGTTAAAAAGGAGGAGGTTTTAGTGACAGAAGCTACCTCTTTAGATGAACTGAAGCTAAAGACCACACATAGTCAAAGCAACATTAGATGCTAAGGAGGACTAGGCATCTTTTAGCAAACTTTAATGAAACAACACAAGTACATTATTATTTGTACATTATAACACAGAATGTTTCCTAATGTTCATAAATGTGAGCATCGTACAGTCCTGTTTAATCTAACTGATATATCAAGCTAAATATCAGCAGCAGCTAAGTTAACGAAAGCTAACGAGTTAGCTAACTGATCTTGAAAAAGAGCACCACGCTCTAGATTATCAAAGTAGTGTGTCAGGAATAAATTATTTCTTAGCCTCTCTTAGCCTAACAATTCAGGCTAATTTACTACAGGTTTGCTCTGAGGAATTTTGTCATAGCGTTTCACAAGTAACAATTGTGATTGGCTGAGAGGCATGTCAGTCATAATTTTGCAGTCTGTTACTATGCCATATAATTAATATGGGATGTAATTCTCGAATTCTTTTTTTTGTTGTTATTTCCAGTGTGATATAGCACTGAATGCATACATATCATATTAGCAAATTTGAACATTGTCTGTGTGGTTCCTCATGTCTGCTCCGGATCTTTCTTTGTGTGTAGATGACGTGTGCTTTGCGTGAGATGATGCTGAACGGGCACACTGAAGAAGCTGTAGTGGCCCTGTTCCCGCAGCTTTTCAGTGCTCTACTGGTGCGTATGGGCTCCAGCGTTGGGGTGCAGCTCCCCAAAGACATCAACAGCAACAGCATTGGAGCAGAGCGCAAAGCTAGCGGCAAAGCCACTGCAGCCAACTTCGATGTCTGTGGGTGAGTCACGTCAGACAGCTGCAGCAAACAGTTTCTTTCTTTCTTTTTTTTTTAAAGCTGGTATTTTGGATAGAGCTTCTGCATATTTTTAATAGTAGCTGTGACACTTTTTGTGTTGGAAATTTTACTGCAGTTCTGTCATCTTTTGTTAGAGTGCAGTATCTCATGAGTGTGAGGGAGTGTATTTGCAAATAATTTTTGCACTAATGCAAAAATTATCATTTCGAAATGAAATAATTTTGTTTTTAAAGCCTGTATCAACAATGTATATTATTAGTGAGTGTCTTCTCTTTTTGTTTGTTTTTTTTTTAATCCTTTTTTCCTCTAGTGTGGCAGTTGAAGCCTTGCGCATCCTGTTGGCTCGAGCTCATCTGGATGCTGTAGTGAAGGCGTTAGACCAGGATGCAGCATGGGACAAGATGAAGGACTCTCAGCAGCACACTGCAGGGGTCACTCTTCTCTCAAGGTGTGCCCTGGTCTCTGAAACACTACATACATACCTGCATGTTAGGCCAGTTTGTTTATGTAATAACTTCTTATGCAGGTTCTGTACTTCCGCTGCCAGAAGCTGTTTTAAATTACTTCTTCAGTTTATAAGTTAATTATATTTTTTAATTGATTTTTTACAAGTTCACCTTAATTAGCCAGATTAGCATAATCAGATTTGGAATTGGTCCAAGTAATGGAACATATGCTAGACCTTTATTAGCCATCTCTCTTTGTTTTTGTCAGAGCGATGGCGAAGCTCGCGGGTCCTCGTCTTCCAGCTATAGTGGAGAGCCTGTGTCCGTCCCTCAACAACATCTATGAGTGCCAGAGAATCACAGTCACAGCTTTCTTCTCTGAGGTAAGGAGAAATTCTCTCATAGTTTTTAGCTTAACATATCCTCAGTTTATAGGCGACTAAGTCACAAAGACGGATATCAACAATGTCATTGAATTTAGGCTGGAAAATGTTTCACATACATACAAAGCAGTCTTTTTGTTAGAGCAAAATGACTAATTGCTGAAGTATTACCAAGGCTATATCTTGCTGGTGTCTTCTTTCTAGTGTAGCACATGCAACTAGTCAGGCTTTTGTTCTCTCCAGTTGTGAAATCCTGATGTCTATGCAGAACGCACGCTATAGTTCGACAACAAGACCCATGTGGAAAATATAAAATGATACATAATACCCATTAGAGTAGTTTATTCAGGGGTTGCATCTAGTATTATTTATTATTGGAGAGGTTATTTAATTTATGAAATGATGCTGTAGTTACATGCACAAAAATGTTAGTTATGGTTGGCTTTTTGAAATTTTAAACACCTCTCTGTATATTGGAGAACTCAATTTAGCATTATGTCACTCCACACTCATTACTTGCCCTATATTATTATCACTAACATGAAGTCTTTGACAGTCTTGTTCAGTCTAATCCCATCTGCAACAGCCTGGGTAACTTCATTTCTCAATCGTTTAGAAACTCTTGCATTTCACCCAAATGTACATAAACTCTGTGCTGTCACTCTCTTGCTCCCTCTCTCCCTCTCTTTTTCCCTCTCTCTCTCTTTCTTTCGTTCTTTCTTTGTTTCTTTCTTCCTGTCTCTCTCTCTCTCTCTCTCTCTCTCTCTCTCTCTCTCTCTCTCTTTCTCACACACACATACACTCACTATCTCACTAGCTGCTGAACCACCATGTGGTGACGGAATTGATGATGATGGATGTGCTGATGAACAACATGATGGAGAGGATTTCTGACCCCTGTTGCACTGTCCGCATGCTGGCCATCAGAGGCCTAGGGAATGTTGCTGTTGGCTCACCCGAAAAGGTACTGGACAAAACGTTTTATTGGACTAAACAGAGTGAATGCTGGGCCAGGTTGGTAAAGGTTACCATGTCTGAAACTGACTCTATATCTAGTAGGGGTGTAACAGATTTGAGCCAAACAAAATCTGTGGTTCTGTCCATGGTGCATGTGATATAAATCACTTTCTGTTTTTGTGTTTGATTCTGTTTTTTTTTCTTCCCCTAACACAGGGCATGTTGCCAAATTATAACTATTATTGTACAGTTTGTATTATCAGTGCATTTTGTCAATTCAGTGTTAGTTTCATTTCTCACCATGAGAGAACAGGCTGTACTTAGCATGCATGCAGAAATAAATATTGGTGCATATTGTGTTAGAAGAAAATCAGTTCTGAGCTGAGATACAAATTGAAGCATGAACTGTTACACCCTTATTAGTTGAGTAACACCTAGAGCCCCCTGCGAGATGGATGTTATAAAAAATTAAATAAATCTCACTGTGTTTTGCATGCTTTTGTACTGCTCCTTGCAGTAGAAGTGTCTGCTGTGAATTAAAATGTAGGCAGTTCAGCCTTCCATCTCATGCTCTCATGTTCTCTATGTCTAGGTGAATAAGTATGCTAAGGAGCTGTTGGCAGCGATGAGTTCAGGGATGGAGGAGAAGGACGACCCAGGTAAACTCATCACTCTGGAGGCCATGTCTGGCCTGTCCAAAGTACTGCTCTACCTGGACCAGAAGAATGTGCACCTGCTGGTCGTTTACATCTTCATGAAGATTAAACCTTTCCTGGAGAATGTAAGTGTGGAGGTTTTAGTGGGATTTAAGGTGATCTGAATTTTTGGGTCAGTGTGACAGGGAGGGCTACGTGGTGAAATTTGGCTCCTGAAACGCACTGGCTGAACCATACTGGTAATACTGAGCACTAAAAACTATTCAGCGAGTTATAAGTAATTGGACTGCTTTTTCAGAGCTTCAGAGCATCTTTCTTTTAGAGCTTTGATACTGTTAATTTCTAATGGGAAATCAGACCATTATTCAAAAGAACAGACCCACTTCTGCATTGAGCAGATTGAGAGCAGTGGGGTTGGAAGGCTTCCTTTGATGTATAAGAAAAAAAAGAGTCAAAGGCAACATGTCAGACCATATTCTTTTTTTTCTGTTTTTTTTCTTTTTTACACTGCTCAAAAAATGTTATGCTTATTACAGCAACTTATGTTTTTTATAAATGCTTTGCAAATGCCAGCCCTGTTATGAATAAAAACTTTGTGAAGCTAATGAGCTAATTAAGGTATATGGGTCTGTTTTCAATTGTAGCCCATAAATCAGTGTTGTAAAATTTATTTATTTATTTACTGATTTATTGGTTGGTTAGTTGATTGATTTTTGTGCTCTGGCTACTTGACGTTCATGCTTTAGACTCAGTGTTCTGCACTTGTTTTCTTTAATTCTTTGAACATATTCCTAACAGATTTTAATTGTGGTTTAGTTACTCTGGGGAAAAATGGGCTGCTTTTTCTTCTGATGCTTCCATTATGTTCATCATTTGTAACAGCCATGTTATAAATTATGTTTTGCCAAATGTACAGCCTCAAGGCCCATTTAAGCAAATGTTTAAATGAATCTGTGTTTAAATGGATCTGTGATGGCCCATGCTACTTTGGTTGTGTGTTCTGCAGGAGAATGATGAGATCCGCTGTGCCTCCATCATGCTCTTGGGAAACCTGTCGAAATTTGGCTGTGGGGAACCTGTTTTTAAAGACCAGATTCACAATGTGCTGGTCAGTCTTCTACTGCACCTTAGTGACCCAAACGCACAAGTGGTCAAGGTCAGTGTCTGTCATAGGTCTTACTTGAGGCTCTGCAGTCTCTATCAGCAGTTCTGTTGCATTACAGAACAGTTTTAATTACGTGAGCTCATTCAAATTCAAATGTAACCAAGGTTCTTTATTTTTGCCTTTTCTCATTCCTACCTGTTTCTAGGCGTGCAAGTATGCAATGCGTGTGTGTGCTCCAGTGGTGGGTTCTGAACAGATCACTGCCATGTTTCAGAATCATCTGCACGAGGAGAAGAGTCTGCACTATGGCGAATTCGTTAACGACCTCATCAAATACATAGTGAGTGAACATAGGCGAACTAGTTGATGAATGTGTTACTGGCTCACAGTCGACTTTCTTCTGCTCACAGTTTCATGCAGATTCTCATTCTGAACATGAAGCTGTATGGGGGTGGGGTGTTTACTTGGTGCTTTGTGAACATTGCAAACAGACGCTAATTGAAATCCACCTCCTATTGTTTTAAACCTGAGTTACGCAGCAAAAGCAACAGTGTTTCCAAGCATTTGTACAACTGCTTGTGTTTCTCAGAAAATGTTCTTTAAAGAAGAAAAGACTTTAAGTAGCAGACTCAGCTGTTGTCTTGTAGTGTCAAACAGTTAATAGTTTAATATCAAAACACAAAAAGTATTTTATATCGCCGTTTGAAAAGGGCAACATTCAAGTCGCAAGAGCCCCTGTTTTATTTATATCCTACATCCTACATTAATCAGAGTCTTAAGTTGGGATATATATCACAAAGCTTGTGAACTGCCAGCCAATACTACATGCATGCATTCGAGCCTCAAGCTCGTATGTGCTGGTCTTCTTGGCAAAAAAAAATGCCTGGAGCTTGATTTATAGAAAATGATTGTATTTAAACAGGTGACTACTAAAATTTTGAAGATTCCAGTTTTCACTAGTAAGATGTCCTGTTGTTCTGTAGCACTGTTCATAGTAATGTGCTGGCATCTAAATTTGTACATAAATACTGTGGTTTTCTCAAAGATCCAAGACTTCCCGGGAATGCTCAATTTCTACCACGTCACAGTTGTCCAGTTCTTCAAGAGCAACTGGGCAGAGATTCGGGCAAGTGCTGCTATGTTCATAGGTGAGATTATTCCTATTCTTTTTCTTTCACCACATGTCAAAACGATGAAGTCCTAAAATTGTTTGTAGTGACAAAATGTTGCCACATGCATGCTTTAAAGCTTGTATATATGTAGGGTTGGGATCTCATACTTGTGTCCACAGCTAAATCCTTTGTGTGTGTTTGTGTTGTCCTCTGGATTCTAGGGTTTCTACTGGGAAACTTGCCTGAGGAGTATTTCTCCCATATGAACATGGGAACAGTAACTAAGGGTAAACTCATCTGTTCTTGAGTAAACATTTTCTGTCTGTGTAGAAGCTGGATTGTTGCATGTAATAGTTTTCTTCTCTGCATTGTGCTTCATGAGTTTGGAGACACTGAAGTCAAAATCTATTTTTTTGCTGTTTACTTAAGCATTTCAGCATTAATATTGTGGCTTAGGTATGCATACTCCACTTCAGGCTTCTTTATTTATGATGTAAACTGATTACATCAGAATGTAGTAGTAACACAAGCAGAATGGCACACAAATACGTTCTCCATTGTTGATTCATTGGCTAGTACTTCATAAACCCACCAGGCAGAGTTGATTGCTGGATATTTATCCAGTTGAGCATGTGTTGCACCCACTGAAAAGGAAACAAGGTTCAAGTACAAAATACCCTGCACTCATGGCCTCTGGTACAGCAGGGGTCCAGCAGTCATTTGACCCACCATTTTTCAAAGTGCTGGGGCGATGCCCCACCCCTTTTTGATTGAGTTCAGGTGCTTATTTAGAAAAAACCTCCACTCTCCCTTACCACACAGAACAGTTAAACTCCATGGTAGAACCAGTTACAGTCTCCATTTACCAAAAGTGAAATCTGTATGTTTACCACAGTAAAAGGTTTTTAATGTGGTGCGTGAACTAGTGCACTGGTCATATAGTTTTTACCATCACACTGTGTGAAATTTATTAAATATCATTTGCAGTATTTATTGCTGCTACATTGCTAAGGTAGAATTCAATGTTCTTCAGAGCTACAAACTTACCTGAGTGAAGCGTGCAGGGTCTGCAGACTAATCAAACTTTTCTTTGATTCAGTCTGTTTGTGTAAACACTCCACCTGTACTCAGGTCCACACCAAAGAACAGAACCGCTTTCCGGTAAAAATCGCAAATCTTGGTTCCAGTTCGCTGCAGGCAGGCATACATTTTAACGATGGTCTGCACTGAACAAAGGAATTCAACTGTAGTGTATGTTTTCCTCGTCTTCTAGCAGCGTGTCAGCACTTTAGTGTCCACATACTCTGCCTGTTCAATGTCTGACTTATGAGAGAAGGCAGACGAGTAATATAATGCGATAAATAGCGAAGATATGCGTTTGATTTTGGCACGTGGGTAGCATAATGTATTTTTGCGTCAAGCGTCACCGACCTGATTGGCTCAAATTGATAAACCAATTATAGAGAAGCAAAAATCAATTGTGATGCACATAGATATTAAGCATTTCTATTTTCTTTTCTTCTATCTATACGTTTTGTGACCAATAAGCAAATACCTACATGTGTAATTTGGTGCACTTTAGCTGTTGCAGTGTGAACACAGCCTGTATGTGGTGCTGAAAGTTCCACTAGCACACTTTGGCCAAACGTTTTTGCCCAGTACATTTTACCCAGTCACTTTTGGACATGCCCAGTTTTTGAAGTACACAAATGGGCACATAAATAAAACCAACCCTGCCTTGATTATTACAGCCCGTTTGAACCTAGAGCTTTGTTTGTTTATTAAAGCAATACAGTGTGTTTGCTGGGCTGCAGAGCAAGACACCTTTTGGGCAACTTTTTATTTAACTTTTTACTTAATATTGTGTTTATGTACTTGTGCTTGATGATTATTATACTACTGCACATAGCATCACTGTCCTTTATACCTGATTTATTTGAATTAATTTGAATTATTGATAACACACAGTTGTTCAAACACACCTTCCTGTTCCTGTCCTAGGTCTAGTCATGCTACTGCAGGATCCAGATCCTTTGGTCCGGGCGAAAGCAGCAGAAGCCATGGGCCAGTTCCACTGAACTCTCACTTCCCTGCATTTAGCCCTTTATTTTTGATTGGAGAGGGAGATAAAAACCTCGGCATTGTACTTGAATTAGCCTTTAAAGAATTTTAGTGACCAAAGACTGTGCACTAACTCTATGAAAAACAAGAAAACAGAGAAAAGCTCTGTAGTGTTGGTCAATCCAGAGCTTTGGAGCTTTTTAGGAGTTGTGTAATTGTGTATTGTGTCCCTGTTCATATTTAATAGACTGTAGTATGTAGTGGGCAGCAAAGTTTTTAAACTACAAGAAACCCTTTAAATTGTGGGCTTCTAAAAATAATACATGAACCAGTCTTTTTTGGAGGTGTTCATCTTAGTCCACCCTCGTCTTTATGTATAATTACTGTAGACTGAGCCTACAGAATACAGTCAGAGCTGATCAGAGCATGGTTTTATCAGCTGCTCAGTTGGCCTAATACATTTTTAGGATGAAAGTTCTATTCTCAGTTTGACATGGCTACCTTAATTGGTAGACTAATATATGTCCTACTGATCTTGACTGAAAAGAATAGCAATAAGTATAGGAAGGGTGCCACTGGCTTCCCCTCTCTGTCTCATCTAAAGTTAGAAATAGTGAAGACAGCAAGCAAGCTAGCCAGACTTTTGTAGCATAATGCTGTTGAGGTGACCCATCATGATAAATTCACTTTCTGAGGTGACCAAAAGTATGTTGGGCTTCCTTTAGACCCCACGTAGAACAAACCTGGCATAAGGATGCCATAATCAGTGCCAAAATCATAGACTTATGTAAGAAAAACTGTGGTAAACAGAGGACACAGTGATTCATACTCCTTTGTGCTGCACTTGTGAGTTTCAGCGACTTCTGGTGGAATTTCAGTAGCACTTTCTGTTCGTTGTGCTTCCTTGTTAACCATATTCCAAAACCAAAAGTCAGGAACATATGGACATTGGACTCATTAGGGTTGGAACTAAACTTTGGATAGATGTCCAGAAGCAGCTTCAGCAGGTGTTTAGGCTATAGTGAAACTCATCCTAAATCAGTATTCCTAATAAACAATTAGATGTTTAATGAATAGGGTTCTTACGTCTAGGTTACAGTGCACTGTACAGTGCAGCACATTGTGTTGGGGCATCGCAATGCTACAGTTTTATCATGATTCTTTCTGTTTTTGTCATGTTCTTTATTACTCCAGGTAGGTTTTCATTCCAACCAGTTACAACTGAAAATGTCTGTGGTAGAAGTTAAAGTATGTTATGTAGCCAACAAATAAATCAAAGCTAAATTCAGATAACGGGCTTTGTTGCTCAGATTGATGTTTGTACCTGGACGTCTAGTTGGCCAGATTGGTTCAGTCTGGTTGTGGATCTCAGGTTTAAGCAAGCTGCTTTAGAGATCTTCATGAGATCAAATCTCCATGTTTCTTTTTCCATTCTTTTTTTTTTGTTTTGTTTTTTTTTTTTGTAACAGGGAATTTTCATGTAATGAGGGCTGGGAAATCTAAAGTGACAATTGCAAAAATCATTTTATTTTAAAACTTATTGATGAAACTTGTTGCACACTACATACCCAGCACTGATATATTCATTTCAAAAGTCAGCTGGAATTCCCATTGATGTAAAAGGTTTATTTTCTGTGCATCCTCTTTTTCAGTCTTGTGTGCTAACAAGCATTCTTTGTTAGCATTTCATGCTAATGTGCCCAGCAGGGCTATGTTACAATAAAAATAGATTACAGTGAAGTTCTATTCAGTATTCTTGGGAAGCAGTAAAAAAAGTGTTTGTTTGTCTGATTATTTATCAATTAGAAAGAGTGCAGATTTAATCATTGAGCTTGTTCAAGGCCCATGTTAGGAGATGCTTTAGTACAGGAAATTGAACTATGCTTTTTATTTTAGTGCCCTTCAGTTGAAAAACCTAACTATGAAATGGCATTAGTGAACTTGTAAGTTAATTAATGGAAGAATCTAGCTTGAGTGGACATACAGTGAAGATAAAGTCTGCTTTTTCTGTCTTTAATGTAACATTGCAACTAACAAAATTCAAGAGATGATAATAATAAGTAGGAAAAATTATTTTAAAAATACAATATCATGGTTGCATATAAGTGCACACCCTCACAACTAATAAGTTGTTGACGCACCTTTTGGATGTATCACAGCATTAAGTCTTTAAGTAAATAAGTTACTACACCTGGACTCAGCAGTGTTATTCTGCTCTTTTTTTGAAATACTTCAAGATCCATCATATTGCCAGGTGATCATCTGTGATTCCAGTTTAGCTCATTTCACAGCTTTTCTATGGGATCGAGGTCTGGGCTCTGTCTGGGCCATTCTGAGACACATCTATGTTTTTTAAACCATTCCTTGATTGACTTGGATGTGGGCTTTGAATAATTATCATGTTAGAAGGTGAAGCTAGTAATTATCCCATTTATCTTGTCTAGAGCCCCTGTCCCTACTGAAGAGAAGCAACCCCAAAACATGATGCTCCCACCACCATGCTTCAAAGTAGGTATGACGTTGATGAGATAATGAGACCTTATAGAATTCAGGCCAAAGATTTTAACCATTGCCTCATCAGATGATTTTGGGGGATTTCATGTTATTTATTTGTTTGTTTGTTAGCAAACTTGGCTGGAGGGACATCAGGAGATTCTTGTCACATTCCAGGAGTATTAAGTTCTTGCCCTAAATACCTCCAACTAATGTTTCTGTAGGCCTGTTGGTTGAGGATTTTCCTGACCTTGGCAATGGGAGTCCAAGTACTTTGTCACATTTGATGCTTTTGATATTCTTTTATATCATAATGCTGTTTTATACATTTTGGAGGAAGATTCTGTAGATGTTTTGTCAGAACCCCTATACCATATCAATCCCAGAGGGATGCAGTCATGAGGAGCCGCACCAGGAAAAGCTGATTTTTATTTGGAGGTATCAGAATTAATTGATTGGAAAGTGTATGCTGCTTATATATGGACATAATTTTGGATGTCATTTGTTTGGATGTCAATGTAGCTACATCCCCTATTATAAAAGGGTGTGTGTAGATTAGATCCAGTTAGACTGATAGGTTTTTTAGTTTCAAATATTTTTCCTAATAATTATTTCTTTTATTCTTGAATTTTAATGGTTGCTCAGTCCAATTACAGATGGAAAGATGTCTAGTATGATTTATTTTAATTTCTGGTGTTACAGCACTAAAACCTGCATTTTCAGTGAGCGTGTGTAAACTTTATGTCTACTGCAGTGCTTCGAGTATTTTTGGTATATCAAGTGTGGTTTGACTTTAATTAGGCAGTTTGGGGTGTGGATCACTGCCACAATAAATAAAGCAATTTTTTTATGTATTTGAACCAGAGAACTTTGGCTCAGAGTTAGTTTGGCCTGTAATGGTGAAGCAGCTGGTGCACAGCTCTGTTTACCGCATCACACAGGGCTGCATGATAAGGCCATGCCTTTAATTCAAAACCATTAGAATAGACCAGCCTAATAGGCATGCCAAATCCCACACTCCATTGCACCTGAAGGACACCGTTTCTGTTGGAGCCTCATGAATGCTTTGCCTCGAATGGCCTGCAAGCGTTTATATGGAAATGTCGGTGATTTCAATTCTCAGTTGACCCTCTTTACATAATGACATTGAGGGTAATTTGATCACTGAAAAGCATTTGGTGAGGCTTCAGTAGAGGCGATGTGACATACAGAGCGTGTAGATGAGTCCTGTAGAGGAGAATTGGTATTTAGGCTTAGAACTGATCGGATCAGATGAGTAAGAACAGAGCATAGCTCAAATATGCTCTGCATGTGTGGTGTTTGCTTAACAGCCGTTTAGGTAGGTCAAAAAACTCATACCTGCTTAACTGTTAATGCTGTTCACATGAAATAATAACCTCCTGGGTTTTTTATGTAGTTGTTCTTAAAAAGAAAAACGTGCTTAGTCCAGTACCCTTGAGAGAAAGGCGAAAGCTGAAAAGTCTAAATTAGACATGAGTGTTCTTCTCAGACACAATAGCCTACAACAGCTGGTTCTCAACACTAGATGGAGCTAAAGCTCACCATTCCATGCTCTTTTATCTCATGCTCTTGAACTTTTCCTCAATGTTCAGCTAAAGAGCAACGAGTAGCTCTAAATGCAGCCGTTGATGTGAATCAGATTTCTTATCCTCCAATAACACACTGGGCCAAAAGGTCAGGCCCTCCATGATTAGGCGCAGATTGTGCTTATTCAAAGCCATTATCATTTGCAGGCAAATAGTAGGACCTTTTTAATCCTAAATGAGGGGCTAGTGAAGATTAGAGGCTGGATGTGAATAGAGCGCAACGTGAGGCCAGACTGCAGAGTGGGCTTTAGGGGAAGTTTCTCTGCTGCAGTCTCACCGTCCTTCGCTCTAATCGAGCTGATCTTCCCCTCGGCATCATATTGACTGCTCTTCTCTCTATAGCATAGAGATTAGGACTCGTTTGTTTGCGCCTTGATAACATTTTCATTATGCTCCCCTTTATAGCACTAATAATGGCAAGATGTACGGGATTGTCTGTTTGTAGAGATCTGCCTTTATACAGGAGGTCAGATGTAAATTCAAATGAGCTAATTAACTGTGTGTGAGTTTTTCTTTCAAGGTTAAACTCTGTGAAATCATTTTGAGCTACATGTTTTTCAGTTCTATTTCTGCACCACGTCTGAAAAACATCATTACATTTGCTATCTAAAATGTGGGTTTGAGAAAGAGTGGAAAGATTTGATATACTCGATATGGAAAAACACATCATTTATCTTCTCTTGTCAAACTTGGAGCTAAATGTTGGGTTAACAGTGATACTCCCTGTCAGTCTGAACCGAGATGCTGATTCTCTGAGGTCATTAAAAATGCCTGGACATTTTTCTCTAAGCACAGGCGTGTTAACCCCGACATCCTGGCCATGTTTCTCACTTTGGCCCTTATTAGCCTCTCATAGCAGAAGACAGACACAGTCTGGCACACCATGGCATGACCAAGAAGGTGCTACACACCGCTTCCCATTACCTGTAGAAACAACCTGAGTGTCTAGGAACGCTATATACAAGTGCAGTGAGTCATTCAGGCATAAATAGGCCCAGGTCTCGCCAACATTACATCAGGGTGACATTGCTGCTGTCTGGAAAACTTGCTTCTTAAATGCTTCATTTTAAGTTCCTAAACTTAATGAAGTTAAATAAATGATGTTTGGGAGGTAAACCCTGCCTGAAACTTATGCTCCCATTTATCTCATGTACTGCATATTTTTGTGATACAGTTTTTGTGCACCCACTTTCCTGACTCCTGACTTCTACACCTGTTTCTTTCGAAGGGAGTCGTGTCTAGCATAGTAGTGTAAAGTGGATAGATACTGAAGTATAAGTACTTGTGATGCTGATGTTTCTTTTTGAAAATCCTTACTTGCTGAACAGTGTTAATACTTGTTTTTTTTAACCCCTTAAATCATTAATTGGCTTATTATTCAGTAATTGGATGGACTGCGTTGCAGACTATCCTTTTTAGGTTAGAAGTTTGTATTAAAACTTTGGAGCTGTCGGTGTGCCTGTAATTTTAATATATATTTTTAAATTAAATTGGATTTGCATTTAATGCTGAAAAACATGAAACGAATTCAAATAAATGGGTATGATAGGAATGTACACACAGACATTATGCGGCCTTTTGTGACAAACTAAAGATCACATGGTTAAGACTGATATAAGCACTTTCAAATATATTGCATTTTTCCCAATTTTCAAAAGAAAAAAAATGTATAGGTATAAGAAGACTTGTATTAAAAGAAAAGTATTGGTATCGTTAGCTGTATTAGGATACTAGCTTTGTCTTATTCAGTACTGGATTAAAAAGAAAATGTCTAGTGAAAAGCAGAAGCTCCCATGAACCTCCACACCAACTGGGTTCCCCCCCCCTCCTGCCATTCCACAGCCAGTGCTCTGATTTAAATCAATTTTAAGTGCTGCTTCTAATGCACTTCTCTTACACGGACTTGCATTACTGTAATCAGGCCTTATGTTTGAGTAAGAATGAGTATGACATTTTGGATTTGACCTGCAATGTGGTGTTACATATCGGTAGCTAGAGCTGCACAAAATAACAGACTATATTGCTACATTTGGAGATTCAACATAGAATGTATTAAAGCACATTGGCGAACACTTCATGTGAATGGGGTTAAGGATTGGCCTGTATTTTGACCAAAATGATTTGTTTGTTTATTGGATTGATTTCTTCTAAACACCCACAGAAACTGACTGGAAAAGCTTGAAGCTGGAGCTGTTTGTAGCACTCAGTAAAACTTTTATGTGTGTTTGCATATTGCAGCCAATTGTATATGCATATAAACATGCTTGCTTTTTTGCCTATTTGTCTGTTTTCCAGCAGTGTAGTGGAATATTTACATTCAAGAATTACAGTTGCTGGTTAAGGTTGTCTGTGTCTCTCTCTCTCTCTCTCTCTCTCTCTCTCTCTCTCTCCTGATGAAATTGCACTCATTCATTCCCGCGTGTCAGTGGAGGAGTGTGTGACGGAGTGTGTGTGTATGTGGAGTTGACCCGGCCGTTTCAGGACGTATGGCTCTAATCTAGTGCTCAATTGCTTTGGCTCACATGTGATGGTGCCCATCAGTTCATAGGCTGGGCTGCAATGGGAGAACATCCTCCCACAGTTCAGGCCACACTGTATTTTGGTGCTGCTGCTCTGCTGCTTATCATGGTGCTGGAAAGTCTAG